CCTCTTGGCCCTCCTCCCCAACGTCTGCGAATACTCTCGCCGGATGCTGTTCAGGGCCAACCTGAACCAAGCGTTCAAAGACGCCATCGTCCCTATGCCGGGCCAAGAAACAATGACCTTGGCGGAATTCCAAATGGAATGCCGCCGGTACGAAGATCAGGCGGATGCCAGAAGGCATGCGTCCTCGGGAAACCGCTACCACTCGGGCGGTAACCGACAAGCGAGCAACCACTCCGCTCCCCGCAACCCCGTTGTGGTCAATACTACCGTTGCGACTCCTACCCCCGCCGCCAACGCTTCCACCGCTGCCCCCATGGAACTCGACGCGGGCAGGATGAGGCGGAACGACCCCTGCTACCGGTGTTTCCAACACGGCCATGTAGCCGTCAACTGTCCCAATCAGAGGGTCCCTGCCCCTGCTTGGTTCAAGGGTAGGAACAACGGGCGGATGAACGTCTCTGGTGCCCGGGTGCAACCCGTCGAGACCGTCCCGGAGGGAGGTTGGGAAGCCGAGCTCGCGAGACAGAACGGAGAGCAGCCTTTGCTCTGGACCCCGACTGATTAGACGTACGGTTGTGTTGTTATTGGCTCATCATTTGTTGTACCCCCACGGCAGGCCCGGCGGGGATGTTTTATCACCATTCACTTTTTCAAGCACCCGACTTCACAGTGACTACGAGAGATACACTCACCAAAGTATACGCCATCAAAAGGTAACTGTACAAGAAGTACAATACGAAACATGTCCCTCGCGAGGAGTAAACGCATACTACTGAAGAACACAACCTGAAACGAGTCCCTCGCGAGGAGTAAACGCACAAGTCCCTGGCGAGGAGTAAAACGCACAAGTCCCTCGCGAGGAGTAAACGCACATAGAGAGAAGAAGACGAAGTCGGGACTCTATTATGGTATATCAAAATACAAGAGAAAAAAGAGACCCCGACGTAAAAAACAATCCGGAGAGTACAAACACGACGAAACTCCAAAAGACCCGGAAACCCCTCACTCGTCGCCTTCCGAAGCGGGGACGACCTTCTTCTTCTTCTTCTTGCCGGCGGCGGGATTCGGCGTCGGGGACGGAGGAGGGGAAGGCGTAGGGGTGCGGAGGACGTCGGCGTCGTACTCCTCGCCGACCGGTCCGTCAGCAGCGACGGGGGGTTCTCCAACATCCTCACCATGACCTTCGAAGAGGAAGTCCCGATAGGACTTGTCCTCGTCCCACGCGTCACGATCGGGGATGGTGACGGTCCCGTTTTCGTTGGCGACGTACGGGTGCTTTCGGCACCACGACAGGAAGTACCTCTTGCGGTACTTGTCCTTGACAGCGAGCCAGGCGGGGTAGCATCGGGTCTCTACAAGACAATCGGTCTTGTTCGAGAGAAGGGGAAGAACCTACGCGAAAGGCGAACGTTAGCTCCGAGGCAGATTCCCGCCGGGGGTTCAAATCGGAGCGACTGCTTACCATGAGCTTCATGATCCTCTGAAATTCGTCCGCGACGGCGATGGCAACCGGATTGGGGACGTTGGGGATCGTAAGGACCTCACACGCCGCCTGGTACCGGGTGCGGATACCGTAGGCCGGATCGAAAACCGTCATGAAGGTGGACGGCAAAGGGGCGCACTTGATGTTCGTTCCCCGGCAAGGGAAGCAGGAACTCCCCTGTCCAGAGGATTTCCCCGCGTCCGGTAGAGGGTGGCGGCAAAAGAAGATGCCTTCGAACTCCATCACGTTGTACCACCCTTTGACCCCATCCTCGACGTAACCGGGAACCGAGTTTTCGGCGGAGAGGTGGAAGCGGTCCTCGTGACCGAAACAGTTGAGGCAGCACCACTTCCAGCCACCACGGTACTGAGCCTACGTACGCACGATTGGAATCAGCATACGACAACCCCACCGGAGAGAATAAAAGAAAAGAACAATACATACCATCAAACCGTCGAACCCCGCGACGTTTCCCTCCTTCCACAACTTCTTGAGGGAAGGGATGGAAGGACTATCGGCCAAGAAGGCCGTGCGAGCAAGTTCTTCGGACCGAACTTGCCCCTCTGAAGGAGCGACCGACATATTAGCCACAGCGGACCCCACCCAGACGAATACCACTCACTCTCGTCGGCGGACTTGGTCTTGGGGTATACGAAACCCCTGCCCCGATCTTGCTCGAGCTTCGACGTCCCTTTCGGAGTCGACGGAGAGTACGGCTTATCGCCGTGGTTCTTGGAAGTCTTGGGAGTGGGAGGCATGTCGAATGGAATAGAAAGGTAGATGGGGGATAGATAGCGTAGGAGGGGAAAGTGAGTAATAGCGAAAGGACACCTACGACTTACTCCCCACCTCGCAAACGCGAACGCGAACCCCTTTATACCCTACATCCCTGCTGCTACGGCGGCCCAAACAAAAGAAGAGTTGCGATACTAGCAAAGAGAGCAACTAGAACAATACTATCGCTATGGATATGGGCATATGGAGAGAGGGTATCGTACAACAACAGCGGTATAGACGGCAACATCAACGACGGTCTCCTTTGTTTACACCTCCCAAACAATGAGTCGGACATGCGCCCATACGGATGTCCGCGCCAGGACAAAGAAAAGAACAACAAACGAGACGCGCCCCATCGGGCCCGAAATTCGGGTACCCTGTGAAACAGGTAGACGTGTGTAAGCGACGAACGCTTACCGGTGGGAAGGGCAAAAGGAGAGAACAAAGGCGCCTACGTGAAACACGACCGGCGCTGGCCGATCTGGAATCTCGGCCTAGGGGGGGGATCCTGTTATAGCATCCGCGGTACGCGTATCGCACACCCGCGTCGGGTAGTTTTACAGGGACCTCCGAGGGGAGTTCCCGTACGGAGTATATCTAGAACACCCCCTATGTGTTTACTGTAATGTAGTACTAGTTGTACTACATCCGTTATTACATTCATTACCTTACCCTTACCTTCTAGTCCCGTGTGATACTATCTCAGGCTTGCAGGCAAGCCTAATATTACCTGGACGGGAAGTTCCCGGTGAGGATCCTTACGGATCACAAGAACTTGGAGTACTTCAAGAAGGACAAGATGTTGTCCCACCGACAAGCGAGATGGTCTCAGTTGCTGAACCAAATCTCGTACACGTTGGAGTACAAGCCGGGGACAGAGAACGGGAAGGCTGACGCGCTCAGCCGGAGAGAGGAGTTGATGGAGGAGACGGAGCCCAAGCAGGCAGAGACCCTGTTGCGCCCCGTTAATGCAGACGCGCTGGTGGTCAGCGCAGCAACGGTACAACCCCCGTTGCGGTTGTGCGGAACGATCCCCGTCATAGGGGATTGGTTCTTGAAAGCGTTGATCCCTGCGGGACAAGAAGATCCGGTCGCGAGAGACCTGATCAAGGGCGTCAAGGAGGGAACCTTGACGAATAGTCGGTACAGTCTGAGCCCGGGAGGCGCGCTCATGTACGACGGGCTGGTGTACGTTCCCGATGCGGGAAGCTTGAAGACGGAGCTCTTGAAGAGGCTCCATGATGGGAAGACCGCCGGACACTACGGGCGGGACAAGACGGAGGACCTGGTGAGTAGAGATTTCTACTGGCCGGGTATGAAGGCGTGGATTAGCCAGTACGTGGCTAGTTGCGACAAGTGCCAGAGGAATCGGAGGCCGAGGGCCAAACCAGTCGGTGAGCTGGCTCCCCTGAAAGCGGAGACGGAGCCCTACCAGTCGATCACGTGGGACCATATCACGGACCTACCTGAGTCGAGGGGTTCAAACGCGATCCTGGTGATCGTCGACCGCTTCAGCAAGCGGGCACATTTCGTGCCTTGTCGGAAGGACAACGACGCCAAGGTGTTGGCACAGATGTTCCTGCAGGAGTGGGTACGATTGCACGGGTTTCCCCGGCAGATCATCTCGGACAGGGGAACGCTGTTCACGTCGAGATTTTGGAGGGAGTTCTGTGAGTTGTCCGGTGTCGAGCCTAGTTATTCGACCGCCTTCCATCCCCAGACGGATGGTCAGACGGAGCGCAGTAACTCGACGCTCGAACAGTACCTGCGGACGTATGTCAATTACCAGCAGGACAACTGGACCGATTTGTTGCCCATGGCGGAGTTCGCCTACAACAATTCGAAGCACTCGGCGATCGGCATGTCGCCGTTCATGGCATCGGAAGGGCGGGAGCACGCCGTCGAACTCCCCATGCCTATCGCCAAGGATTCGGCTGTGGAGTCGATACAGGAGTACAGAGAGCGGATGAACAACATCTGGGAGTCTGTTAATGTCGCGCTGAGACAGGCCAGGGAGGATATGGCGAAGTACGCGAATCGGAAACGTACGGCGGTACCGGACGAGGGGTACAATGTTGGCGACATGGTGATGTTGTCGTCGGCTCACGTCAATACCGTGAGGCCGAACAAGAAGTTGGAGTGGAAGACCTACGGCCCGTTCAAGATCACGGAGGTCGTAGGAGAAGGTCGCATGGCGCGACGTTTGGAATTGACACCGGGGATGCGTAGAATCCACCCGGTGTTTCATGTCTCGCTGCTCATCCCGTACAAGCCGAACGAGCTTCCTGGGAGAGCAGTGGACCCACCCCCTGAGCCAGAGGTGCTGGACACCGGGGATTTGGGGTGGGTGGTATCGGAAATCGTACACTCCAAGGAGTTGCGTTCAACGCGCGCCGGGCGTAGGACCCAGTACTACGTGCGCTTTGAGGGGTACGGGGACGAGCACAACGAGTGGGTTAGCCCCTCGGATTTCCACCACAACGACACCCTGGTGCTGGAATTCCATAAGCGACACCCTGAGTTGCCGGTACCGGGCCGCCAAGAGTACGGCGATGCTTGATGCGTTCGGAGCTCGCATCTAGGAGGGGGATCCTATTATAGGCGTCACGTGACGCGCGACCTACGGTGCGCGTCGCCTCGGGGTCTCGTTCGGAGACCCTCTCAGAGACCTTTTAGGAGACGTTCTCGTAGACGTCTAACTAGTACCTTGTAGTAGTTAGACATCCGTTATTACATCGCTATGCCTACCGTTACCTTTCCCCAGTCCCGCGACCTTATTACCCCAAGACCCGGCAGGTCGGCTGCCAGGCCTTATAGGAAGAAGGCCAAGTGAGTTACCGTCGAGGTTTGTCTGACGGCTGGAATCAGAGGACTGATATTTTGATGCGGACGCAATCAGGGGCAACGTCTACCTGACGCCCGGGGAGATGGAGGTATTGACGCAGAGATGGGCGCCGTATAGGTCGTTGGGGGTGTATTACATGTGGGCTGTGGCCGAGGAGACGGGCGGGTAGAGCCAGCGCGTTCTTTTGGTCGATCAAACCGGGGACTTCGACGCAAATATAGGCGGTTGTATATCGAGCGATCGATGATGCCCAGACCTTGGCCGGGGACTGGCAATACAGAAGCTGCAAGACCACCGCAACAGTACCATCACTGCTTTCAGGTCTATCAAGTGCAGACGACAACGCGCTCGAGACATTCGTAAGATAAAAACAAACACATCATCAGACATGCCACAGAACAGAATCTTTGTCGATCGTCGTAAAGAAGCACCCAAGCTCGCATAATCCCGACCACGGCCTTCACTCAGTCCATCCTTCCCTTGAGGTGACGGGTGATGATCTTGTCCTTGGTGCTGTCGACGCGCACGCGAGCCCGACGTTTAGCAGGGCCGTTCTGTCGCGAATTCAGAACGGCAATGTACACCCAACTCACATAACATGTACGACGGCTCCCCAACCCGAGATACAGTCCCGATCGACGGCGGCGAGCAGAGTTTGCGAGATGGTCTCGAAAAGGTCTTCCGGTTCCTATCGAGATGGGTAATCGAGGCATACACCTCACGGCAAATGTCAACAAAGGTTGAACAGGCAAAAGAAGGCGAGGACGATCGGATGCTCACGAGATCAGGCTCCCACAACCCTTCAGCTACACCGTACAGCTTGTCCGTCGCCGTACCCGCTACGACGAAATCCTTGGGCGTGGTGATACAGCCGATGCTAACCAGGTCCATCGTGGCACCGTCAGCTTTCGACAAGACCGATGGTGCAACAAGAGGAGACTCGGATGACTCACGTATCCATGTTGCAGATGAAAGGTTTCGGGTCCGGGTCGATGGCCGACGGTGCCGGAATACCAGCGATGACCGGTTCGATAAAGTACGGGCCGAACCTAATGTCCACCCGACAGAACAGTAACCATCGATCGTGTCAGCATTTGCCTTCTCTCCCTCCTGTGACCACCTCTGTCAGCTTGACCGCCTGCGAACCTACCTCTTCTCGTACAACGTGCTGCTCAACAGGTGCGCAAACGTCTTGGGCGTAATCTCCCTCTCCTCCTTCATCCTGTACATGTTGACCCGGAACCGGAGGTGTTCACGTAGGGTATAGGTATCGGTGGCGAACCCGGGAAGACCGACGTAGAGTTGGTTGTTGATGGGGAAGACCTGCGCGGGCGTGAGCGATAGCGATAGCGAGCGGCGAGTGCGGAGTGAGCGGGTGGGGGTGGGGACGATCATGTGACCGACGAGGGTTGGTGTGCGAGATGGCGATTGGCGAAGATCCGCGCGGCAAGATCAAGATCGACGTCGATGAAGAATACCGGATTGCACAGGTGCAGTGATAGAGCGAGAGAGAGATACGACAGACGTCAGTAAGGCTCTTTCCATACGTTTGATTTCAGGACAAGAGGGCAAAGTCTTTCTGCCCACGAGGTAGCGAAGTCTCGAGAAGGTGTAGACAGGTCGACGGGCAAATAAAAAGAGAGCGGAGGGATGTGGTTGGAGACTCGAGATCCACCAGACCGAGACCGAGATCGAAATTGAAGTTGAAATACCCAGACCGACATCTGACTCCCAGTCCGAGCCCTCGAGCCCGAGTTGTTGTCGATCAGATGGGAAAATGTGTCGCGACCCTTTCTGTTCTGTGTCTTTTCCCGGTCACCCGATGTTCACGCTTATAACCTCCTATCTTAGTGCAAGGCGGCTCCCGTCTCCTTTGCTAATTGCCACCGTCTATATGCCATCACCATCACCATCACCGTCATCCTCGTCATCACCTATCACCATCACCTGTCGTACGTTCCGACTTTCCAGGGTTGTTCCATAGCGACCCATGGGCCATGGTCATCCCACTTCGTCTCGGTCCGTCTCGCCATGCTTCTGACCCTTCGACCCCATTGATCCCAGATCCTAACCCCACTTTCTGACCCCGGTCCCGACAACCCTCTTGACCATCGTACATCCGAGCGTCTGTAACCCTAGCGTGGAAGGTTCCCCCGGTCCGTCCGTGCGCGAGGGTGTGAAAGTCCGATCTGACCCAACTCGTGCTCGTTTCTCGGCTCATCGATCCGAGGCAACGAGGTATGGGTTTGGGTATAGGTGTGGATGTGGGTGTGGGTATGGAATATGGATGCGCGAGTTCGATCCTGATGGTCCTGATCTTGATTTGATCTTGATTTCGATCCGAGATCTCGGTCTTCGAGCTCAAAGCTGCAGGCACACCGATAAACGAGAACAAGAAACGGGAAAAGAAAACGCACCTTCTCGAAATCCGCACTCAACCCGACCGCCTGCTGCCCCAACCTCAGATCCGAAGCGATGGCCACGCAATCTTTCCCTGTCATGGCGATCACGCTCCCTCCGTTCATCTCCATCGGGGAACCCATCGTGTATCGTCTCTGTTCTCGTAAGGTTGGCTGGTCGGTTGCAGGTGGATGGATCTCTAAAAGGAGATGAGCTGGTCTGATAGTGTGATGATCGGATGAATCTAATACTGTACTGTGATGATACGAGTAGGTGTAGAAGGTGATCAGAGTGTGGATAGGTTTGCTTTTGCGAGGTCGAATCGATCAAAAGGACCTCGTCGAGCTTGTCGTCTCCTCGTCTGCTAGCTACTAACTAGCCTGTAGGGCTGACGAAGCGTGACGCAACGCACACGCACGGACATGATCACGTTTCTGATTGAAGACGGACATGATAACGTCTGTACTGGGAGCGAAAAGCGGACATCGCCTGAGGATTACGTAAAGCTCCCAACCGCCAGGGAGACGGAGATGTCCGCTTTTTTGGGTTGTTGACTTTTGGGGCGACCTACCTTTGATCGATCGTCGAGAAGAGTCGAAGAGTACAGTAGTAATAGGGTCGGTGGATATACCTTTGACCTCGAACGTTCTTCAAGCTGTAAAGGTTGTTGGGGCTGGATGGGTGTCGTCTCGTCTCGGCTCGGTCTGGTTTGGGCGGGGTGGGTTGTTCTACGATCTACGATCCACGAATCACGACCCACGAATCGACCTGCCGTGCAAGTCCTTGCACATAGAGTGATATCCACGACCGCGACGAAAGGATGTCCACCTAGACTACAGTGGCTTCCTCGTCTACCTACGTGACCTCTCTTTGCCTGTCCCTGGCCGATGATCGATTGTTCGATGTTCTGACCGGATCGTCGTCGCCGCCATCCCAAGTGTCCATCCACGTACCCTCGGCCTTTGCCCTTTCACGCGCGAGGATTAGAAATTTCGAGCATACGAGCCCAGTCCAGGCTATCCAAGATCCAATATCCACTCGGGTCACCCTTTCTATCGATACAACTCTGTATCCACCAGCCAGTACCATCGTCACGTTCGTCTTTATCTAGATCTAAGCTACCCTGAGCTTCTGAGCTATAGATATATAACAACCAAGAAGAGCGGCCGGGGGATGTCGTCCATCCCAACGTCTACGATGAGGGCTACACCCTCCATGTTCTTCAACAGCCTGACCCGATCAAGTCCCTACGCGCGGAGGAACGGGATTAAGAGAAATTTCAAGAGGATGTCGACCACCTCGACCTCGACCACTTCGACTTCGACTTTGATATCCTCGCAACAACGACCTCCCTCATCGTCATCATCACAATCAACGTTCTTCTCAGTCGTACGCCCGTCGATTTCGGTTCAACAGAGGTCCATCGATCTACGGAGACCGCACATCTTAAACCAACACACCAGGGCTTATTCGGATTCCACTCAGGTCTTTAGGAGCCCGTTTTATTCGTTGACGCATTGCGAGCATTGTTACCCGGAACAAGAAGCAGGAGCCTCTTCGTCTTCGTCGTTGTCTTTGGAGCCGCAAACGCAAACGCGATCGCAATCGCAAACGAAAGGAGGACCAGGACAGATCGCAACTACCAGTAGTAGTAGTGCTAGTCGGTCGAGTTCAATTCCGAACCACCACCAACATCAACATCAGCATCATCTCAACACCCATCTTCATCTCCACCACCTCCAGCAACCATCGCACGTACAACCACACCTTCATTCTCACTCTCATTCGCATTCGCACAACATGTCCACTTCAACCTCCACCTCAACCTCGACGCCCACCCCGAACCCCCCGGCTACTTCTTCCACCCCGACTGCAGCAGCGACTACAGCACCGGCACTGGCAGCGAAGAAACCCCCCACTAAAACACCCGGCCAAGGGATCCTAGTCCCCGCTTCTAAAGTGCATACGTCCGTCAAGACGGAGTTGTTGAACACGTTGTCCCAACCTGAATTTACCGAGCTCAGCGAGGGACAAAGAGAGGCAGGAAGGGGAAGGATACCGAAGTTGGTAGGGATCTTGGCTACCGACAAGGAGGATGCTGCGAGTTATGCCGAGGTGAGTTTCGGGTTTGGGGTTTTCGTTCTCTTGTCGTCGTCAGGCAGGGATGTAGGGGAGGTGTGCCGGTGGGGATGTGGGGAGATGGAAATTTGGTAGACCTACGAGAGGGGAGCGGAGAGAAGAGAGGGAGGATAACGGTCGTCATGGTCGCTCAAGGAAGCTGATGATGTGCCCTTCCTTTTATTGCTGTGTCTGTCTCTCTCTTGCTATCGTTATTCGGATCTTCGGACCCTCGGGACTTGTGGTCAAATCACGACGGAATCTTACACCCACCCGACTTCTCAACATCGATCCTCTCCCGCCTAATTTACTGGCACAAACCACCCCCACTCCGCCTTCCATTCCCAACTCTCACGTTCCAACGCCCCCCTTGAAACTCGACACCGACCACCGATAGTTCACCCGCAAGTCCTGCACCTCGCTAGGGATCCAGTACGAACTCCGACTCGTCGGCGCGGCCAGGAAAGATCAGGGGGACCAGCCTGGAGTCGAGATCGGTGTCGAGGAGGCCATCTTGGAGGCTAATGAGGAGGATGGGGTGGATGGGATCATGGTCAGTCCAGCCCCTCACTCCAACTCCCGACTCTGACTCGTCTTAAAGGCGGGGGTGTTCTCTTTACATTGCGGGTTTGAAGGGGCGGGGGCTGAAGAAAGTGTTGTCGTTCGCGTGCAGGTCTATTACCCGATCCATGGAGGGTCGAGGGATCAGTATTTGCAGCAATGCGTCTCGCCGTTGAAGGACGTCGAGGGGTTGCACCATCAGTTTTTGTTCAACCTATACCACAAGTCAGTCCCGGGGTTCGTCCGTGGATCAGCTTTTGAGGTTGTAGCTAATATGCACGCACACACGGCCCGCAGCATCCGCCACATCTCCCCGTCGACGCTCCGACCGATCCCGGCTTCGCACCTGCCTACCTCGACCGTCAACACGAACGCCACGGAGGACCCGGCTCCTCCGGGTACGGTCAAGTCGATCTTGCCCTGCACCCCGTTGGCCATCGTCAAGGTGCTCGAGTTCGTCGGCGTCTACAACAAGCTGCTCGAATGGGGCGACAGGGCGAGGGGCAAGGTCATCACCGTCATCAACCGGAGCGAGGTCGTAGGGAGGCCTCTGGCGGCGTTGTTGGCCAACGACGGGGCTAGGGTGTTGAGCGTCGACATTGATTGTGAGTTCCCCGCAGCGTGCGTTTCGATTCCACTCTGCGCGACTTGGGCTGACGCCCTGCGCCCTGCTAGCCATCGTCGAGTTTTCGAAACGACCCTCGACCTCGGAATCTCATACTTCGCGGTACAATCCTCACCACATCATGACCCCCCTGCCGGCCGATTACACGTTGCAGGACGCCCTCCGCGTGAGCGACGTCGTCATCTCGGCCGTCCCGCACAAGGATTACAAGGTCAAGACCGAGTGGCTCAAGGACGGTTGTATCTGCGTCAACGTGGCTGGGGACAAGAACTTTGAGGCCGACGTCAGGGACAAGGTGAGGCGTCGATCGGGGGGTTAGCTCTGTTCGAGTCGTCCGGCTGAATTTGAAATCGCGCTCGCAGGCCTCCATCTACGTACCCTCGGTAGGGCAGATGACGATCGCCATGTTGCAGCGAAACTTGCTGCGTCTGCGCAAGTATAGGAACTTGATGCAGGCACAGGAAGAGTCGCCTTTCTGAGCCTGGCCCGCGCGGGTTCGTATAGATTAGATATATAGATAGATAGATGGATAGATGGGCAAAGATGGATCGAGTAGGAGATTGTATACTAGCAAGAGGTGCCGTGATGACGATGATGATATTCGACGAGCGTTTGCATCTGATCGGGGTTTCGTATATTCGGCGCGCACTGTTTCGTAACGACGATACGATACGATACGAGAAGGTAATTGACACGTCATTCTCTCATTTCCCCATTTTTGGTGAAATAAGTTGATAAGCGACCCGTCGACCTTTGACTTGGGGGGAAAGTGGCGATCGATGACCAACCACGGGTCGTCCATTGAGAACTACGCAACTATAACTACTACAACTACATCCACCACCATATAGACAAATCAAACGTCTCATCTTAGACGAACCATGTCAGTGATAACTCCCAAGCAAACGACGATGCTCGCCACCCGCCTTTCATCTTTACACCGGTCCACCACTTCGACGCATTCTTCGATCAGGCTGTTGACCGCCTATCCACGAGCGAGAGCGAGAGTACCCTCACCTTTATCTTCTTCAACATCAACGTCGAGCTGGAGATCATCTCATTCGACCGCTACTCAGACTGCTCGGGCCAGCTCCCGAGGACACGATGTCGAGGTTCCTCTCGTCGTACCTACATCTACAAACACCTCGACCTCAACGTCAGCGTCGGCAGGACAGACTCCCCGTCAATCGACTTTAACTCTGACGCATGCGAAGAGCACACCCGGGGAAGAATTGCAGAGGGCGCTTCAAAAGGATCTGGATAAGGGTGGCGATGGGAGTGGGACGGGCTTCGGCGCAGGGTCAGGGGGAGGGGTAGGGGCAGGGGGAGAGGTGGGGTTTGGGATGGGGGATGCGTGGGGGCTGACCGTAGGGAAGGCTAAGGCTAAGGGTATGAAGGGGAGGAAGAGGGACGAGGAAAAGTCGACGACGACGACGATTGGGCAAGGACGAGGGGAAGAAAAGGGGGAGGATGGGGATGCGGGGTTGAGCGATGAGGCGTTGAATAGGATGGCTTTGGAGAAGATGCAGATCAGGATGGGAGGGTCGGCATCGTCAAATACGACTTTGGCGTCAGCCTCAACCTCGGCCCCGTCTTCAGCTTCCAAGACCTCATCAACGACAACATCGGCATCAACATCGACATCGACATCAACCCCAAACCGAAACCGAAACCTGAGCAACACCGCCAGCGCCAGTGCAAGTGAAAGTGAAAATGGATACGTAGAGATCGACCAACCTACTATCCCACGCTCGAGTTCGACACGTTCCGCCACTTCCACCTCGTCTTCTTCCACTTCCACCCCGTCTTCTTCCGCCAATCCTTCCGCTTCCTCCAAATCCAATTTCACCTCGACGGAGATACCTTCTACGAAGACCTCAACTTCGACCGGGACGACGACGGGCACGACGGGCACCCCAGCGAGGAAGGCGGGCAGGACGATCGGGCTGAAGGGGAAGAAGAACGCTATCACGCTCGTGAGTTATCGGATCTTTTCTCTTTCTTTTTCCTCGCCCGAAGACCATGAATGTTGGGGAATAGGGGCGAAGAGCTGATTATCGTTTCTGTCCCCCTCTTTCATCCGATCGAATTCGACAGACCCCCTCGGCCATCTCCCGTCTCGCCGAACTCGCCGACCCCGCGGCCTCTTCATCAGCTTCAGCCTCCACGCAGGATTCCGCTGCGCCCCAACTCCTCCGTATCTCCGTCCGCAACCGAGGCTGTGCGGGGCTCGCCTACCACCTTTCTTACCTCCCCCTCGATGCGGTCAATCGGTTCGACGAGATCGTGGAACAGGACGGAGTGAAAGTCTTGATCGACTCGAGGGCGTTGTTCAGCGTGGTGGGGAGTGAGATGGATTGGGTGGAAGATCGGATGAGCGCGAGGTTCGTCTTCAAAAAGTGAGTCTCGTGTTGAACGTCTGCATAGAAAGGTGATTTGGTTTGGACGGGCGCTGATCGTGGGTTGTGGATGTGCGTCTCGATAGCCCGAACGTCAAGGACGCTTGTGGGTGTGGAGAATCGTTTCACGTTTAACGCATTGGTGGGGTCATCCGAGGCATCCATTGATTCGGCATAGCAGACGCCCATAAGAAGACCTTGCGATGGGGGGCATCTCGGATATCACGATGCAAAGACATGGAGAGAATGATATCCGTGTCGTACCGAAATCGCATGTGATGCATTCTTGGTACTTTTGTGTGATGATATGGAGATTCACGACTGAACGCCTCGGTGGACAGGCCAGTCAGTGGCTTTGCTCTGGGCTCTGTGTTTTCGACCGTCTCCTGGATCGTTCGTTCTCTGCGGTTTCTTCCCCTTCCGAGCTTCAAAGTTGCTTGGCCTCCCACACATGGAATGGTCTGTTCTGGGACCCGCTTTTGAATCGATACGGGCTCCGAGCAGTTGCGGGATGCGATCGAGGCGACAGCAGGTCAAGAGGAGACGGGCTACCTCGGCCGCAAAGGCAATCAAGGGTCAAGCAAACGGCTCGCTCCCCGTTGTCCTGTGTCCCGTGGGCTTTGCCATGGGGCGTGGATCTTGATGCCGATCGGATGGGATGTACAACTCGGGCCGCGGCATTAACTCGTTAGGATATGTCGGGCCGTCTGCCGTTAAGCCCGCTTCAGCCTCTACACTCGCATCCGGAAGTGTGTGTGATGGTGTGGTGTGAATCGTATATAGTCCGATCCGAGGGGAATCATGCGGTCGTAGTTCTGGAATTACATCGTATGCGCGGGGTAGGGTCCGACGACATACATACACATTTACATACAACCCGCGCTAATCAGTCACAACCAACGCCCCGCTGCCCCTCCAGGAAAACCATGAACGGTGCTCGAACTCCGCAACTTTTGCCGAGGATCTTTGGACGGTGGTGGGCGCCTTCGCTCCCTGTGTTTCCCCCACATGTCCTCCTCTGATTCGGCTCGTATGCTTCTTCACCAGCGTCCATCTCAGTTCGCGAGTCAAGGCCGCCCCGAATGTCAGCAGAATCTCGGTCGATACCGTCAGGTGGAAATCGACCGCCGCGGCGAGCACGATGAAGGGGATCTTGTGCCGAACGACTGGTGGGACAGAAGTCCTCGAGTACACCAATCTCCCTATCCCTACACTAAAGTCTGGACAGGTCCTGATCAAGAACGACTACGTGGGAGTCAACTATATCGACGTGTGAGTCGAATGAGAACATGCGGTGTGCAGGCTCGCACGCGGCTGAAGACACCCACATATTCGCACCAACCCGACCCGACCCCACACACCCACACCCACACACACACACATATCCGCCGATTCACGTCCACGTGCGCCTACACATGAATCGATAGATACGCTCGAACCGGAGCTTATCCTTCGCCAAAGCCTGAAGTCTTGGGCAAAGAGGGCGAGGGGACCGTCCTAGCCCTGGGTCCATCGGGTCCCGATGTCACCTACCACGACATCCAGATCGGAGATCGAGTCGTCTGGATGGGCAGTGGTGGGTATGCGACACACTCTGCCGTACCCGCAGAGACGACCTACAAGATTCCCGACGCCGTGCCACCGACGGTGGCAGTGGCGTCCCTGTTCCAGGGTTTGACCGCTCTCACGCTCGTCACCGAGAGTAGCCACCCAAAGAAGGGAGATTGGGCACTCGTACACGCTGCTGGCGGAGGTGTAGGCCTTTGGCTGTGTCGATTGCTGAAACACTTTGGCGTCAAGGTCATCGGCATCGTCTCTGGCGCAGCGAAATGGGCCGAGGTCGAAGCCGCGGGCGCAGATCACGTGCTAGATCGGTCCGGGGAGGGGTTTGACCTGATAGCAGACGTCGCCAAGCTGACAGGAGTCGCCAGTGGAGGTATCGACCTCGTTTATGACGGAGTCGGACGGGCCACATGGGATATGAGTCTCGCAGTCGTCCGTCGCAAGGGTTCCATCGTTTCGTTTGGCGCGACGTCGGGCGCGGTTCCCAATATCCCACTGAGGTGAGCAGCGGCGTCGTAGGGGCGGTGCGAGTCGGGTGAGTGATACGAACACTGACAATGATTGCGAGGGGTCCTGTCGTCTCCTGTACAGCGTCCTCTCGGCCAAGAACATTACGCTCGCAAGGCCGACCGTCTTCAACTACGTCACCACCAGGGAAGAGTTTGAGGATTACGCGTCTCGTCTGTTTGGCATGATGATCGAGAACAAGTGGACCCCCAAGATACACAGCCTCTATCCGCTAGACCAGGCTCCCAAAGCTCACCAGGATCTCGAGAGCAGAAAGACCGTGGGAAAGTTGCTCCTCGATACCATGCTCGCAGGAGAGGCGGCTCCGGGAAGCGAGCGGGCTATCCGGGCGGCACGTGGAGAATGACCGTTGTATATTCCGGCTTATTCGACGTGAGACGAACTGCCAATTTCTCTTGAGTCGTATATCGTACATTGTGTCGAGATGATTGCCGATCGTTTGATCAAGACGTCGTCTTCTCGAATATGCTTGCAATCTACTAGTACTGTAGCGCCCGGGTGGGGGGCGCGCGCTACATCTCCACTCGATCTGATCTACTGCAGATGATCGTACAAAGTCCGCTCAAACTTGACAAAGGTGTCCACAAAGGGAGAAGGTAATCCCTGGAAGATGTTGGTAAAGCACAGACCCTGTGTGAAGAGGCATGATATCGTATCGTGTAAGCGTATCGCGGTGCAGATATGAGGGATGGCACCAGCGATCTTAGGTGGACGCGTCGAAACGTGAAATGAAAAAGTCTTTCACGCACAGCTACACCGTGTCGAATCCTATTGTTCTCCCGCACGTCTATTGTTCTCCCAGAACAATAGACCGCATGGAACAATAAAGCACATCCACTCTTCGCACCTTTCCTTTTGTTCTCGCTTAGCAATCTGCGACTCGCTTAGCAATCTGCGACCACTGTCGCAAGTTGCGACCACAACCGCAAGTTGCGACCGCAAACCGCAACTTGCGACCGCAAACCGCAGACCGCAAACCGCAAACCGCAGCACCTTGCCACCTACCAGAATAATATATATAGCAGACCATTCTGGTCTGATTTCATGATCCCCTCTTGTATATTTTATCCTCATGCAAACTATACAACGGTGATCAACTCGATATCCAACACACCGGTGGTGGGATCGATCCAGAAGGGGGTCTTGGCGACTCCATCCCAACATCCGCTGCCGGCCTTTCGTCCGTTGGAAGAGTCGGCCAAGTTCAAGCAGAGACCGATGGCGTGTCCGACGTGGGAACCGGACTTGTCGCCGAGCAGCGCCTTGTCGTGGTATCCGGTACTGTCCATGATCTCCAACAACTTTTGTTTCCCAGAGTAAGGGTCGCCGGGGGTCTGTTCGGACGCGCAGACGTCCCTGAACATCTCGTCATGGCCGGCTTTGGAGATGATGGCGTGCTCAGGCCGGAACTTGCCCTGAATACCGCTCGCCAGGATGGCTCTGAGCAAGGCGAGAAAGTCTCGTGCGGTGCTGTACAAGCCTGCACCTCCGGCGAGGAGAGGACCGACTTTGGAAGGATCGCCTTCCCTGGGCATGTTGTGAGACTCGAAGTTGACTGGGAAACACTCGATCGAGCGATCGGGAAGACCTTTGGTCATGGACATCAGACGAGACTTGACCTCGTCCGTGGGGAAAAAGGTGGTGCTCGTCATCCTTAGCGGCACAAAGATGTTTTCCCGGAAGAACGATTCGAGATCCTGACCGGTGACGCGCTCGACGAGCACTCCAGCCCAGTCGAGACCGGGACTGTAACTCCAACCCGTGCCCGGTTCGTAGACGAGAGGAAAGTCGAGCGACTGCATGGTCGCGCGTTTGCCTCCTCCTCCAAGGATACGAGGGTTACCCCTTTCGTTTACCCATTGGCGGGTGAGATCAGAGTAGATGGCGTACGACATGCCTGCGGATCGAGACCCGGCGAGTGTCAGACGGCGTTCATACCAGCGCGACGAATGCTCTATGAAGGTATGGGGTTCCTCGGGGCTACTCACCCGATGTATGAGAAAGCAACATGCGCAACGTGATCTCCCGGTTCCGTCTTTTCACATGCATCGGGTTCCCATCCTCGTCGTACCCTTTGAAGATCTCCAAGTCGGTGAGTTCGGGAAGGTGTTGCTTGATCAGCGCGGGGTCGTCCAAGGACAAGATCCCACGGTCCGACAGGATCACACAGGCGACCTGGGGGAGAGAGAAAGAGTCAAAACAGGATATCTATGTGAGATTTCTGGATGGCAAGAAGCAGATGATGACTATCAAATCGCTCGCTCACCGTAGTTACAGCCTTGGTAGCCGAGAATAGCTGGACGACTAGAGGATGATACGTGATCGCTCGGCTCAGCCCCTGCGGCGACCTTTTACCCCCCCACGACCTCTACCTAAGCGCTGTCACTCACTGGTATTCTCGTCGACCTGCCCAGCTTCGGCCTTGCCATACACCTTGTCGCCAGCAGAGCCGAAGTGGATGGTCTCCCTTGCGTTGGTTGCGCCGATGAACGTGGCGGGTATAGACCCTCGAGATATGGGTTCCCGTACGATGTCGTTCAGCGCGTCGGTGCCGGTCGTTTGCAAAGTAGGAAAGCTCATTGCGATATAAGTGCAGGCAAGTGGGGTTGACGAGGATCCCGATCGACTCGGGGATCGCATCGTGAGCGCCTCGCTCGTTATGCTTCTTATCAACGGGGGGCTTGGGACTCGCTCGGATCAGAGAAAGTGACGACCGTGTGTACGAGTACACTGCTGTACGGATGCAGCGGGATGACGATGCTGATAATGCCGCGGCATTTTGGTTGCTCCAGGGAGGGAAAGGAAAAGTGACGCGAGCTATAGTGGATACCCCGTGGACACGTCATCGGGGGGGTGTCTCTCCGGTTGTTTCCCGTAAAGACCGCTAGCGAAGCAACCAGTAATAGGTATCCATGTCATCACTCAGCAGTGCCAATAGTGACGTTTCCAAGTAGTTTGACGAGAGAACAACCTCGACTGCGCGCGCTTAGGTATCGGGGGCGCTGGGGCTGACCACCCGCTCGGCGAGTCACGTGACGTGGGTAACCCTCTGCAGTATGTGCGTTACGACGACAGTCTATGCTCCACATATCTACTAGAGTAGCTACATTTCTAGACAGGCATGCATTGTCCACCCGGTCCACCCTCGCAAGTCGTCCCGATGTTTACGGTCGTCCCGACTCTTGACATCGTATCGACAAACACGTTATCGTTCAGATGGGGAACGACCCTCCGTCCTACGACTTTTTGTTACATCCCCGCCAAAGCCTCTCGCCACATTTCCAATCCACCGTTCTTCAGAGGGCACAATTCGATGATTTCCGGGCTCGTAGGCGAGTTCTTGGTGGAACAAGCTCCCAAGTAGCCAGCCCGGGGCGCCAGCATCAGCGAGGAGAGGACGTTCTCTGGCGTCCCCGCGGCTTTGGCGTATTCTATCCAGGAGACGTCCCTGTACACGACGTTCTTTACCGAGGTCTTGGCGAACTGTTCGAGGAGAGCGACAGCCTGTTTTCCGGTGGCGTCGGTCGGCCCGACGAGGTTGTACTTGCGGGATCGGTGAGGAGAGACGTCGTCGAGCAGGAGGAGCTTGCCGGCAATGTTACCGATCTCGACGGGGTCGATCAGGGCGGTCTCGTGGTCCCCATCGATCATGAGCTTGAGTTCTTGGTCATCGTCCCCGGTCTCTCGGAAAGCTTTCAACCAGCCTTGGAGAGCTGGGGTGACGAGCGAGATGAACCCGTTGGGCTGCAACGAGGTCCACCCCATCGAATCGAACTCGGGCTGTTCCAACATCGTCTCGATCGCCCAGTGGTTACGAGCGTAGAACACCGGCGTGGTAGGTCCGATATTTCGCCTGGTCGTACTGATCCTGACGACGTACTCCACCCGGGCCTCGAGAGCCTGGTTGAGGAAGAGGGACTCGTCGGTGAAATGACTGACGCCTCTGTGAGAAGCGATGAACAGGCGTTCGACCTTTTCGTCGGCGAGCCATTTCGAGTCGATCAGCTTCCAATCCTTTTCCATCATCGTCACCCCGGGCAGGGCGGAGAGCGAGAGCGCGCCCTGGGACTGGGCGTCCCGGGTGAGACCGACGATCCGGTGGTTGGCGAATCGAGAGGACGATCGGATCGAGTCGACCAGGGTGTGGACGACGCCGACCCCGGTGTTTCCGGTAGCTCCGACGACGAGGATGCAAGGCGAGGGGGACGACATTGATGTGTGAGCGGATGTGTGTCAGTGTGTGTGTGTGGGGGGGGAAGGGGGGTGGGTGGGTGTGAGTGCGAGTGCAAGTGTGCGGAGGATGCTCTGGTTTCACAGGATGACCAAAGAGCGACACACGGCTTATATATATATATATATATATATATATATATATATACAAACCACACGACGTCGAGAGCAGCGCCGATGTCGACGAGAGAACGAGCCGCGGCGATACATTCCATCTGCTGAGCTGCTAGTCAGCCAGCTACTTTGACGGCTTGTCGCTTGTCATGCGATAATAATAATAAAATGACCTAATACTATGAACAAATCGATCGATAAGGGATGTCCCCACACACGAATTGACACCGAATTGCCGCGGCATTTTTGGCTCGTTTGATCCAGAGAGTACTTTGATTCATCCCGTGACCTCCTTCAGCTTGTGGCTAGTCTGTTATCCTTCTTTTACTGCACTCATGGCTGACGTCGTCACCGGCTGGTTGGCTGCAGGTACCGATTCGGTTTGTAAGCACAGACAGCGTGTGTGTGTGTGTCCAGAAAGATGGGGGTCATCCTGTCTGCCATCCCCGGCTGATGAAGCACGTCCACTGTATGATCGGACCGCGGTCGTTAGACTCGACGTCGTTAGGGGTCACATCCAGCTCGTAACCGATTACACTCGACCTTGACCACCCACCCTCGGGGGACCGAAGCTTTTCCGAGTGAAGAACGAGGACAGACGGATCGGCCCATGGCTCACGGTAACATGCCCGGATCTCGAGCTAGCAAGGCGCAAGTCATCTCGCTCTCTCTTTATCTCTCTCTCTCTCTCTCTCTCTCAAGATCGACTGTTCTGATCTCAGACTTGATCATCTCGTCACTCGACTGCAACTACTACTACTGTTTCGTAGCTGTGCCAACTGTAGGACCATCAAGGTGAGCATTGAGCGATCCACTCCGATCGAGTCGCTCGGGCAACGATCCTCGGAAAGGCCACACGCCCACTCACTCTCGACCGCTCTGGCTCCCGTCCCCCACCACCTCTTCTCTTCTCTCTTGCAATCGGTGGTGCGAAACGTCCACAAGTCCAAATGCTTCCCCGCAGACCGACCTGGCTCTCAAGATTGTGCCCGATGCATCAGACAAGACCTAAAGTGCGTCTACTTGGACCGGAAGGCGAGGACAAGGACAAAGTCCAAATCCGACTCCAGATCCGGTCGGAGGGACACCATCCCAGGGGCCGCGATAGGGATAACGAGCACGGGCGGTGTGAGCTCCAGGTCGAGGGCCTCTGGGTCTACTAGGTGAGTTTGTGGTGGTCTGTAAGGAATCTTTTTTCCCGGTCGAGCTTCGATTCGATGGGACGAAGGTCTTCTTTCCCCCCCCCCCCAACACAGACGGCTGGACGATCAAGTCCCGGTCGATCGGTCCGAGATGGACGTGGCCAGCGATACGGACGCTAGAGCTAGAGATCAGGGCGAGGTGAACGGGAACGCTGGTAAGTCGAAAGAATACGGAAAACCAGAGCCTAAACTAGGATGACGGTGGTGGTGGCACGGACCCAGACAACACGGTCTTGATAGTCTGACGACCAACGACTCTCTCTCTCTCTCTCTCTCTCTCTCTCTCTCTCTTTTACACATGCCTTTGGCGTCCATCGTCTCTTTTCGGGGGTCGTCCTTAACCCGCTCGTCACCGTCCGTCGATCGGGATTTAGACCTTACCGCCCGGATGAGGGTCGTAGGCAGTCCTTTGCACTCGAACTCGGCGCAGGTGCCGATATTCCCATTCCCTCCTACGGTCGAGGTGCCCCTGTCTCCCCAGGCGCAACCGCAATCGCAATCACAGTCACCGTCACAGTCACAAGCACTGGAAGGACATCCTCGGCGAGTCGATCTCACGAGCAAAAACTACTCGACGGGCCCCCCCTCGACGAGCTGGAATCACGTCGACGTCTCACCTATCGATCGGGATCTTGATGATCCACCGAACGGGTTCCCACCGCCAAGTTCGGGATCGGGATCGAGATCGGGGTCGGATCCAGGACCGAGGTCGCAGCGGGACGAGACGACAGACTCTCACGGCGCGATCGATTGGGACGCACCACGGGTCGAGCACCCAGACGAGCTTTCTTCTAAGGGAGGTGATCGATCGGCTGCGGCCGACATGGAAGGAGGCCGGGCTATGGGAAAGGGACCAGGATCGGGACTGGGAAGTGGGCATGGGTTTCCTGCTGAAGATTTGGTCGAGATGGGATTCCTGTCAGAGGCCGAGGCGTTGGCGCTCTATTCATCGTCAGTACAGTGCGGTGCGATGCAGTGCGGTGCGATGCAGTGCGGTGCGATGCAGTGCGGTGCATTGTGGTCGGCTTGGAGGCAGGAGAGAGGAACACAGAGAGAATTCGATGGCTGACCGGGACGAATCGGTCCGCTCCTCTTGAAACGCGGGCGATAGGTTCATGCACAATTTAAACCCGATCATCGCATTGTTCGATGCGACTTGTGAGCGCTCTATCATGGCCTCCGTCGTCATCGTCATGTCTGACGTACGTATGGGTCTCGTCGAGCGTCTTGTCGGACAGACCATACCATGACCTCTGTCAGGACCCGCTCGACCGGTCTCTTTGCCGCCATCATCTTCGCATCGTCCCGGTTCTTCCTTCCCAGTCTGGCAAGATCTCTGCAATCTCACGCTCGAACGTTGGTCTATCGACACGTCGCCCGGGGCCATGCTACACTGGAAACGGTCCAGGCGCTGTGCGTGTTGGTCCACTGGAAGTATACTTCAGACACTACCGAATGGCTGGACCTGGGCAACGCCGTCCGTATGGCTCAGCAGTTACGCCTACATGATACGAAGAACTGGGTCATGGACGATTCGGGGGCTTCCTTGGTCGGTGTCGCTCGTCGTCGAGGGTATAGAGTCCGATATCAATGTCGTCGGATCGCCCACTGATTAGATATTCGCTTCCCCCCTGCTCAATATCCATACAGGACGCTGAACGGACGTGGTTGTGTGAGTCTCGCCGGGTCCTTCCATGGCGTTCGACAGTGACCTTGTCTCTTTCGCTTCTCAGCCGCTGATCGTATCCACCTCTTTGATGTTGCGTCTTCCCAGTACTGACTTGTGAGTCGGACGAGGTAGACATGATCGAGTTCCCCTGGGCACCACTCTAAACCGTATACGTACGCGTTGCCGTATCACAGGCATGGAGGCAGCGTGAGTACCGTAGTGGATATCGATAATCGGTCGAGCACATGTTGATTCTAACCAAGATTCCATCTGTAGGACCGGGTGAGTCGGCGACAATGATTCTGCGTGAGGAGTCCGAGGCCTGATTGCATTTACGACCCACAGCTTGTTCAAGGATAATATGCCGAGCATGATTCAGGAAGATGCCGTCTTCAACATCGATCTTTGGTTGAGGCGGCATCGTCATCAGTTGATCGCCGGCGATTATCAGTTGGGACTTCAGTACGAGTGAGTCGATAGAGTCATGATGTCGCGCCCGGTCTTTGGCCAACACATCGCCCGCGCCACCTCCCAGTTGGATTCCTCTTGCCCGTATGCTCTCTACGGCTCGAGCTCATTCGGCGGATCCTCTGATGTGGTCCTTTGGCCTGTCTATTCTCGGCATGGCGGAATCAACGTTGGCCAGGATTCGATCTAAATGGTGCAGTTTGGCACAGGACGACCCCACTCGACACCTCGACCCGGTCGAGTTTCAACTCAATAGCGTCGTCCTGGCTTTTCTGCACGTTCACATCGTTTGGTATCGGTACAAGATGACTCTGGGCGAAGACGACGGGTCTATTCAAAAGGTCATCGTCCAGGTCGAATCGGCGTACGGCTACCTGGATGCCATGATAGAGTCGGGCTCCTTGCGGTATTGGTGCGACTCGAGGGCTTTGTTGATTTGTCAGGGTGCCATTATGTTGCAAGAGGTGCGTGTGTGTGCGACGAGGGATGCGTGGGCATTGGGGACCTGTAGTGACTGACACTGGACCGTTCGGCGTCGCTTTGCAGATCTATCCGAAGTGCCGCGAATACGAACGATCGCGACTGGATGCTTTGTCCCAACAGGTCTTTCAGCGCGTGTCGCAACTCGTTGGAACCGACTTGGATACGCCTTGTGCGTGTGTCGCCGGGGCGTTCGAGACCTTGTCCAAGAAATCAACAATGGGATCCTCGGCTTGTGCTACTGTGATCGGAAGTGGACCAGCGGTAAGTGTGGCGTGCGCCGCCGGTCGAGGGGCATTTTGGGCGAGCTGATCAACCCAAATCTCCTGCGCGATCACAGAACCCGGCCATGGACGACGTTGCATTCTGGTCAGTCGCGACGACCGGGCAATGACTGCGACGTGAACTCGACTGATCGACACATGAACCCGGCAGGTTGATGATCATGGCTACGCTTTCCCTTCCCGAGCCGATCTTTCCGACGTATCCGAGGAACCTGGCTTGAGCAGATTGACCGCTCGCTGCCTAGCTCGGGACCGGGGCTCGGACAACCTCGGTTCTTGACGCCCTTTGTCGTCCCTTGCTGACGATCTAAGAATCCCTGGGCAAGGCTCATTCTCGGCTGACCCAGTCCACGTGAACAATCGGTGTGACGGATACATCTTGTCCGCTCGCCGGACATCGCGAAATCCACACTTGGGGACCGAACATTTCGAGATATGGTTGTGGAGAGTCGTTCCACGTCTGATCTTTCGGCGCCAAGCACCACTAGCGGTATCTCACCCGGTCAATCGTGGTCTACGGAGGACGGGATGCAGGAGAAGGGAGATATAAACGAGTGTCATGTAAAGTCGTGGTTGTATGTATTGCATCGTGTCTTGTTAGATGCATGACCCCGCTGTTGACATGTCGCGACGCGAGGAGACGACCGAGTTGTACATTCAGAGCTGCTGGGCTGCATTTCAGTGGTCGTTCGTCGTGAAACTTCGATCGACCAAAACCTTTCACCTCACATCGTTTCGTCATAGCGCTTTCCCGAGAGCTTGGATGGCAGGGTGAGATGGGATTGCCAAGAACGTCGGTCTGGTGATGTAGACGCAAAGAAAGTACGGCGGGACGCATTCAGTATCGAGGATCGTATTCACATGCCCCAAGGCCGATAGCCCAAGGCTCATCGCCATATTCTTCGGGGAATGACAGCCTTTGGCAGAAAGGTGGCCAAGGTGGACGGGAGCCCCGCTCTACCCTACGCGCGCCTGCCGAAACACGGCAGACCCGGTCCCGCATTTCGACGAGTTTCACATATAAAACTAGGGCAAGAAGTGGGTCGGTTGAGATTCATTTCAAGACGAGCAACCAAGTCTCGACCAGCGATCAGACAGCGACTCCTATACTCTTCCATCATGCTGCTGTTACCGATCATCGCCTCTTTGGGCAGCGCCGTCGCGGTATCCGCGTGGACCACGGTTCGCAAGACCGACCAAGGTCCTACCGGCTATGTCGTCGACTTTCGCTACGACCCCCTGCCGACTGATCCAGTTGCCACCAAAGTCTACCTCAATGGTTTGTTGCAGATCTCGGACCATCTCCACTCGAGTCAATCGCAGTACGACAACTTTACTCCCGACCAGTTCACCGCGGACAAGTTTATGGTCTTTCCGCCCATCACGTACGAGATGGATTACGACGCTGTCACCAAGACGTGGATCAAGAGTGTCCCCATGCAGTCGGGCGCGTGGAATTACAACTTTTACGTCGACTGTGATCCGTCTGTCGACCCTCTGACGTTCAGACCGGTTAACAACTGTACGGCGCCGGGGGTGCTGGATCGACACAACCCACCGATCAGTCCGGCGTATGGGGATCAGCTGACGAGCACGGTCGTCGTCCCATTCGATGGACGATTCCAGATCAGGGATTATGATTACGTACTACCCTTGAGCGACGGTTCGAGACGTGGAAACATCTCGTTCTTCAACTACCCGAGCCCCGGATCGACCGTGCCCTCGGCGGACATCCATACCGCTGGCATCTACTTGCCTAGCGGGTACGGGCAGAACTCGTCTCAAAAGTATCCCGTTCTCTATCTCTCTCACGGAGGAGGAGGAGGCGCGGGGGACTGGTTTAGTCAAGGTCGAGCGCATGATATCCTGGATAACCTCATCGCTGCTGGGGACCTTGAGCCGACGATCGTCGTCACGCCTACGTTTTATGGGTTCAACTTTACGATCCCTGGAACGGCTAGTAACGAGACGGGAGAGCTTGGATTCGATACGGTCGGCTTGAACCGGTTCTACGATCTGGTTAGGCGGTCTTACTTGGACTACCTCGTCCCGTACGTCGAAACCAATCGGCAAGCGGAAACCACGCCGGATAGGAGAGCGTTCGGAGGACTTTCACTAGGGGGAGGGTTGACGCTGAACATGCTGTTCAACGCGACCGAAGACTTTAGCCATTTCGCCGTCATGTCCAACATCCCCTCGCCCTTGCCTACCGACCCCATCTGGAACAAGACGGCCTTGCGAGAGGTGGGGATCTTGAGCGCTGGAGGGTTCTACGATATCGCCTTTGAGAACGTTAGGAACTTCCAGACCGTGAGTGGCGTGTCCCCATGGAATCTTCGCGGGGGCGATCATTGACTAAATGGTCATCTTCGTCTGTTTACGTAGCGACTGGCTCTAAACAACTTGTTCACCTTGACCAACTGGGTCTTCGAATCTCATCACGATTGGAGGCTATGGTCGAACACGCTGTACGTCTGGGGGAAGTCTGGACTTTGGGGCAAGGTCCCCTACGACATGTACTCGTGAGCAGGTGAGGACACAACTGGACGGACCTCATGCGAAGGAAGCAACAGGATCTCATAGCAGGGTCGGATTCTGATTAGGAATGCGGTCGGGGGAAATGTTTGGACGGAAGGTTGCCGGAAAGATAGGCGAGAAGGGAAACAAGGCGAACACGTCACATTCGGTTTTGCAATGGCGGGGGCTTTGCGACCTCATCATCGGTAGCTCGTATTATGCGTTGGCATTTTCAAGAACACATAATGAAATTCTATGGCAAGGTGTGAGTTTCGAATCGTCCGTTTCTGACTCAGGCGCTCAGTATTCCTCAGCGGCGACATGGTCGAATCAAGGGTTTAGGCCAAGCGAACGACGCCCAGATTGTGCTCGCAAGATCTCCTTAGTCTCGCACAATACAACAAGAAATCGATACAGCAACTGCCCAGGTCAAAACTAAAACGGCAACCTCGCCATCTCGTCCTTGCTCCAAAACTTGCTCATATTCTCCGCTCCTAGCTCGACAACCTCCTCGTCCATATGATTCCATAACAGGTCCCCGAACGAGTCCATGATCCGGCGCAGTTCTTCCCTCCGCAAGGGATGCTCCCCTCGATGCACCCCTTGTACGTAGGCCTGCATCACGTCCAGCCCTTTATGCATCTCGGCGTGTTGAGCTTTGGCGAACCCGTCCGGACGGAACCCCGGCATACGACGGCCGAGTACGGGGAACCAACGGGATTCTTCGATATCGTGGTGAGCGGAGAGGTGTTGGCAGAATTGGCTGGCGTGGCGGACGAGTTCGGCAGGGCGCATTTTGGAGCTCGGGGCGCAGCCGGAGAGGACGAGGTGCCAGTTTCGACGGAGGATGGAGTGGAAAAAGGACATTTGCTCGGCGAGACGGTTGTACGTCTGAAAGTCTTGCGGAGAGATCTGAGTTTGATGGTGAGAGACGAGCGTGAGGATCAGCGGGCCGATCGGATGATGGCATTTATTCAGAGAGTGGAGAATGAGCACTCACACTTGACACCGTGCTCTTGGAAACAGTCGCCATCGTGGAAAGGCGACGAAAGAGGATGTATGCGGTTATGATGAGCGCGGACGTGCGTACGAGGTGAAGGAATAGCTTGTGTGAGATGGTCCGGAAGGACCTCATCGTGTACATCGAACGAACACCCAGTCCTCACAGAACCTAGCAGCTTTATAGCTCTCTGATTCTACAAACATGGTCGGGATGTTCGTTCTTACAAGACGAATGCAAAAGCAAAGCGACATTGACCTGAGTCACAGGCTGTGGCGCGGGTCTGTCGGCGGGGGCGCGCCGGATCGCGGGCATTCGTCACGTCTGATCACGAAGCATGATCAATCCTTCTCACAGGTTTACAATCCTTCCCACACAGGGTCATCATATGCCCTGCCCCGAACCCAAAGCAACCGTCCTCGGTCTCTGTGTGTAAATATAGTCAAGCTCGAATCCTGTATATAACGCTCGCTAAGGATACAGGCTGTATGACAAGGATCGTTGTTCGTCAACCCAGTTTCGTCAGTTTCTTTGCAATCCGCTTGCCATGTCTTCCGCCAGGATCGTCCTCTACTCCTCCGCCAAGTAAGGCTTTTTTGCGCTCGCGACCGACCTCAATCGAGCGCGCGCTTAACTGAACACTCCCCCCCTGCCCGGCTGTCTAGGTGCCCCTTTGCACACCGCACCAGGATCGCTCTCAAGGTTGCAGATGCCTCGTATGAGCTCTCCGAGATCGACCTCCGATCGAAACCCAGGTGGTACACTGAGAACGTCAACACTGCCGGCAAGGTTCGTCTTGGTACTCACGGAAGAAGGACAAGCAGGCCCGTTCGCGCCGATTAAATAGCCCTTATGATGATGCACAGGTCCCCGCCCTGAGCTATGGAGCCCCCGCAGATTCGTCGGTCGAGGATCCTCCCAAGGGCGTCGTCGTCCTGCCCGAATCCGGGGTCATCGTCGACTTTGTCGCCAGCCTCTTTCCTACCATCGATTGTAAGCAAGCCAAGTTCCATCACCTCTGAGTCTCAGCTCGAACTCACCTGATTGACTCCCCGAACTCTGTTCTTACTTCAGATACCGACGTGGTCAAACGCGCCCAGGCGAACTTGGCGGCTGTGCAATACGAGACCCTTGTCGCACCGCACTGGGGCAAGTTGCAATGGGGTGGTGGTAGCCCCGAAGCTCTCGAGGCCGTCTTGAAGGGACTAGGCGAGTGGACCGCCACATACCTGCCCGAATTCATGGTCTCGGGCGAGGAATTCGGCGTGGGCGATATCAAACTCGGACCTTTCGTCGTGAGTCTCGGTCAAAGTTGGGTCGTCGGTTAAGTAGCCAAACCGACCGATCTCGTCTTGACAGACCCGACTGTTCTTGTTCTCCGAGCACGACGTAGGGGTCTGGCCGGAGGGCACGGGCGACAAGATCACCCAGGCTCTGCAGGGAGAGGAATTTGCCGATCTCCGCCAGTACGCCAAACGTCTTGGCGAGTGGGCCGACTTGAAGAATACTGTCAATGAGGGTGAGTTCCAGGGCGATGGACGTTCGGTTGCCGGGTGTCGCTGATCGGGATCTATTAACCTGCAGATGACGTCGTCGACGCTCTTGGCAAGATGATGAAGGGAATGTGGGCCGCTAGGCAGGCCCCCAAGCAGTAGTAGCGAGAGGCGATGTCCTGTCCCGGCCCCTGCATCTGGTTATCTTGTGTATGTGTTTCGCCGTCGGGATGGGCCCCCTTTGTTAGTGTTCGCATGATTATTATTCCATCGTCCGACGTTTCGAGTAGAGGTGCGAGAGTTCCCGAGCACAGGAGAGTCGGCTGTTCACCAAGAAACATTAGGGAGCAGAGCGAGCGCTCGTCGCCATCGCAGTCTTCAAAGTGCCCTGGGACGGAGAGGTCGACAGGTGCCGAACGATCAGCTCATCCGTCTATGCAGCGCCGGTCTTTGCAACAGTAATGCTTGTCCGACCTAGCGGGAATCTATGTAAAATTCGATATCAAGAGAGCTACCGTGTGTTCGCTCACGAACGACGTACAACCTTCTGATTGACACACGCCGAATTCTCTTGCCCTCCATCGCCATCGCCTTAGACCATTGCCTGCAACCTAACTCCTCTCCAAAGCCCCCTTGGCCTGTTCGAGCGATATAACCTGCATCCCAACGAATTTGGGGAAGATTTCTTCCAGAATCGACTGGTTGATCCCGTTGTCAGGCGGGGTCTCGATGACGTTGTCCGAAATGATGTAGACGTTGTAGTCGAGATCGTACAAGCGGGTGGCGGTGGTCAAGATGACGCCCGAGGTCCGGACTCCGCTCTGCGTGTGAGTGTGTCCCATGTAGAGGAGATGCGGAATAGAAAGAAAGACGACGGGATGGAGCCCAGCACGTCGAGGTTTCGAGGTCGATCATCCAGAATTGAGGTTGATATCGTTGACGATGAGTATCGAGCATGAAGACGTAAGACGAAAACGAGAAAGAACAATCGAGTCAGCGAGCCATAGGACAAAACCACCATCCAGGTCAACGTCTCTCTGCGAGCTCGCAAACGAGGAGCAGAACGGCGGGCGGGAAGTGTATGAAGACTGACCAGTACGACGGTATCGATCTTGTTCGCCCTGAGGATCTCTTCTAGTCCGTTCCCAGCGCCTGTTCGAATCGATCGCCCAGATCACAGCAACAGGGATGGTCAGCTCGTTTTCGACCGGTTTACGTCTCAAACCTGGCGCCCCGGAGGTGTCGGAGATATGGAGTCCCATGAACAGAAGCAAAAGAATGAACAGGGCGACTCACCAGCGTAAAACCTGGTCTTCTGCAGGATCAAATCCGTGTCCAACACCTTCTCCGCAAAGGCCGGGTACAACTCGCCCGTCTCGCTCGACTCGGTGATGTTCCCGAACCCCTGAGCGATGTTCGAGAACGGCACACCCAAACCTAGTTCGGGCGTCTGGGGGGTAGAGAAGTAGATCCGGGTGTAGATCGTCAGAGGATCGTATGATCCGGATGAGGTGTTGGATTTGGACTGGACGGCGTCGATCCATTCGGAAGTACTGTTGATGAACCCTTGTCCTGCGGGGGTGGTATTAAACGACCCGACGATCCCGTTGATGAGATCCAGGTTTAGGATGGCATAACGGGAGCCGAACGAGAAGGTAGAGTTTGAGGGGATGGTCGAGGTGATGTTACCGTACCCAAGACCGGAAGACGAGGTGGGAGAGGTGGAAGTGATGTTGCTGGTGGTGACGTTGTCAGCCGCCTGAGAACCGGTCAGACCGGCGATCAAGGCCAAGGCGATCGAGGGCAGGATGTTCTTCATCTTCGGACAAGCTAGAGTTTGGTGCTCGATATCGAATCGTTAACTGGACAAGGTCGAATAGGACACTGGTGATCTGGCGATATCTGGACTATTGCAAGGTGATTATATAGTTCGAGTGGTCCTTTCACCCGGCGTTTGAGATCGATCGAACAGATCGAACATTAGCTTCTCCTCGATCCTTGGCGATGACGCAATCGATGACATTTTCGTTCCGGAAGAGGTAACTAACGGTCGCATTGAGTCCGAAGAGTTCAGCTATAGCGCTATATCCTAGATATCCTGGATAGCTTTGACATGAATGACAGCTTGATCGGCCTGGGGCGAGGTCGAAGCTGTTCAGACTGCTGGTCTACGGCGGAACAAGAGGAACCTCCTTTTATCGCGAATTTCTCCATGTTGTTGAAGGCGATACCGTGCCGTGTTCATGCTGCGTTCCCTATCGCTGGCAGTTCGTGTTGGAAACCTATGGCTGTACACACTGATCCAGGACAGTACCGAGGAGATCACCGAGCTCAAATGGGTCCATCTGAATGAGATCACTGAGCTGCAAGCGAGCCACAACCAGGCTATCGATGGCCTCGGGAAGGCACATCACCAGGCTCTCGAAACACAAGCAGAGCACTAACTCAACCTACGAGAGGCTTGGGACATCGAAGAACAGGCTCATGATATGGAACATCCCGCAGATTTGGCTGCAAAGGATCTACAGCTTGAGAGACTCAGACAATCACATCTCTTGGAGGTCCAGAACAAGGAGATGGTGCTGGTTGGGCAATTACGGGACAATGACTTGCAGAACTTGCAGTTGTTGCTGGAGAAGGATGCGCTGATTTCGCAAATGAAGGACATCAAGTAATCGAGCGTCTGGAGATTCGAACTGCGTGTTAAATTCTCGTCGCTTGAGCACAAGACTTGTACGGAGGATCTCAAGTGTCAGCACGAGACTTCTACTCAGGACCTCATTTGTCAGCACGAGAGATTGACGGACGAACTGGTCTGTCAGCGCGAAGAATCTCTCCACGGGCTGAAACTCAAGATTGGGCGATGTTAGGGAAGAGCAGCGCAAGTTTGCGCAGGTGGAGCAAGTTGGCTCAAGAGATCGGGGGTCGAGTCAATGTGCTGTTCGTTCTCTTCCTTCTCTTTGTTCTTGGCTTGGAGGATGGCAAGCTGATCAAGCTCAGCTTGAGTGATGATGGGGATTGGAGACGGCTGAAGGAAGTGGTGAAGGGGAGCAGGCTGGGCAAGGTGGCCATGGAGGGATTCAGGAGGTTATGAATACCATATCGAATTGGAAGCAGCCGAGTGATGTAACAATCGATCTGCGCTGTGCTTGTTTGATTTTCGTACGACAAAGCACTTGCATGATTCAAGATCCGAGACACATGTATATACTGCGCCGGTTGTTGCAACTCGCGAAAAACAGATATATCACGCGGAACACTGCGAAATCATTCATTTGAACAAGAGTCTTCCAACTTCCTGCCCTCAATACTCCACCAGCACTGGTGCAAGCTGCTCAAACTGAACAGATATAAACCTCCATGATCATATCTCACAGTTCCATGTAATTTAGCAATGAATGCAACCATATTGGGTATCAATCTGATGCAAGATTGATATGTGATGTATTTGAGACTGGCTTAGTTACGTGATGTCATCTTTACGCGTGCAAAGAGTGTGAAATTCAGTCAAATTGACCTTGCTTCTCATGCCATGAGGATCATCTAATCTAGCTGCTAACAACACCAAACTACACAGAAATGATAGTGGGAGAGCAGAGACACAGTGTGACTTGAAATGAAAGTTGTCTCATCAATATTGATGTGTCTGTGTAAGTTCAAAGACGAGGTCTTGTTTGTGATGTATGTGTTTTTCGCGCAAAGTTGTGTATGTGTTCAAAATCGAGTTGCTACAAACGGCCCGGTATACATGTAAAAGCTGAGAACGATTGTTCAGATGCGGAACTGGCGACGATGTTAATCGCCCCTTTACGGCCACCATGCATCGGATTAGACCTGGCTGGCCTCGGCCGTCGCTACAAGTTCGGCCGAGCTCGCAACTTTGGGTATGCAAAAGCATATACATGTATATCGATCGAATTTCTCAGCTTCAAAACCATGAATGAGATCATAATCGAGACTACCATACCCGTCAATAGCGACTTATAATTTCCTGTCTGGCTCTGGATGTCGAAGACCTTCCGTCGGCTATTGGGCCTGGTCTACGCTCCTCTTCGACAATGGCGAGGCTTGGATACCATCTCGCCACAAGATCTCGTGGTAGATAGCATCGCATCGAGCCCAGAATCTAGCTCGGCTGAGTTGGAAAAGGCGAACAAGGGCAGGCTGGATGAGTTGGGACTTGGGTTTGAGGAAGGGGAGGTGGTCGTCGTCTCGCTGGACGGGACGCCGGGAGGTGAGTCTAGCGATCTGTAACGTTTTTTTGCATTCCGTCGTTGGATTTTGCCTTGTTTCTTCTCAGCTTGTACCTCCAAGCTCCGAACATGACTGACATCGACCTTCTTCATCGTATCTTTCATCCCTGTCGCCATCTATAACAACCAACCTTCACCCGAACCTCGTAACTTCTCCTCGACCTCGATATCATCATGATAAAGCCGACCCGAAACGATGGTCCCCAGCCTACAAAGCTTTCGTCCTCGCCAACGTCACCATGATCGCTGTCCTCATCACCTATGTCTCGTCCATCTCGGCCGCTACTACCGAGGCGCTGTCGACCGAGTTTGGAGTGAGCTTGGAGTTGGCTCAGTTGAGTACGGCGATCTTTCTCTTCGGGGTGAGTCGGGTCGGCCAGCTACTTTGGACTCCGTATCTTCATTTATACACCTACACCTGCGTTTCCAACATCTCACCTCAATCTTGGATCCACAAGCTGATTGCTGTCCGTGTCGATTTTCGTGCTGGCAGTTCGCATTCGGTGCACTTCCCGTAGCTCCGCTCTCGGAGAAGTTTGGTCGACAGCCCATCTACCTGGTCACCTTGCTCGTCTCGTCCGTATTCACCATCGGCACGGGAGCGTCGAGGACGTTTGCGCAGGTCTTGGTCACGAGGTTCTTTGCCGGGGCATCAGGAGGTGAGCAGCCATGTCCGAGCCTACGAACCTCATTCGCTTGTTCTTGATTTGAGGACTGACAAGATGATGCCGGCTTCTTGTTCTCGACTCGCAGCCGCCGTTTTGGCTGTAGCCGGAGGATCCCTGAACGACATCTATAATCCCGTCGAGCGTGGGTACGCCTTTCCCATCTATGCCGGTGCAGGTTTTATGGGTCCTATGGCCGCCCCTGTCATAGGAACTGCCATCTCCCAGTTCTGGGATTGGCGCTGGAACTACTACCTGTGCGGGATTGTCGGATGCGTTTTGGCCCTGTTCTTGTCGGCGTTTTGTCCAGAGACGTTGGGCGAGGTGATATTGTTCGAAAAGGGCAGGGTGTTGTGGAAACGGTCGCAGCGAGAGGGTGAGACGTCCGCCGGACCTGCTATTCGGAGACCTCTGCGGAAAAAGACGCCGTTTGGCAAGTTCTTGCAGTGAGTCGTCTGTCGTCGGCGTTGCTTTTTATCACTTCGGCTGGCTGATTCAGTCGGCCTCGCGATACAGGATCGTCTTGCTCAAAGCCCTGACGATGCTCGTTCACGAACCCGTCATCATCTACCTCACCTCGCTCCTTTCGCTCGCCTACTTTGTCTTTTTCGGATACCTGGAAGCCCTCCCCGTCATCTACGGCGATATTCACGGGTTGGAACTCTACCAAGTCGGACTCTGTTTCGTCCCGATCCTCATCGGCGCCGGACTCGCCACTCTAGGGTCGATGCCGTTAGCTCGTGCCTATGCACGAGAAACTAAACGGGGATCGACGATGCCTCCTCCCGAGCGTCGGTTGATACCGCTCATCATCGGAGGGTTCGTCCTGCCCATCTCGTTGTTCTGGCAAGGTTGGGCCGGGGGATATGCAGGGGGTGAGCCGTTTCATCGTATAGCAACGAGACGTCGATCACCCTACTGATCAAAGACAGTGTCTTGCCGCGCATAGTCAGCATCTGGGCGTCGCTACCTAGCGGACTCGGGGTTGGGTTCAGCACGGTCTGTGAGTTCCAAAGCGATGTCATTAACGCGGTCTCTCCTGCGACAATAGCTGACAACCACGCCTTCAGTCATCTTCATCTCGACTTACCAGATGCTAATCGATACGTATCACGCCCACGCGAGTAGCGCGATCGCCGCCAACGTCATGGTCCGGTATTGCTTTGCCGGAGGTGAGCCCGATGGTTGTCGAACAAATGGCGATCCGATGATAGAGGCTGATATGATCGTCTTAAACAGGGGCGGTAATGGCGGCTCGACCAATGTTCATCAACATGCGGCCTCAATGGGCTTGTGAGTCTTGTTCCTCACGAGATCGCTACGACGGTCGAGCTGATGGCCTGTTCTCGACGCCGTAGGCACTCTGCTAGGATGCGTCGCCATCGCCATGATCCCGTTTTCGTTTATATTCTACTACAAGGGCGAAAAGATCAGGCAGATGTCGCGATTTGTACCGACAGACTAGGAGGACTGGGATATCACATAGATGCGATTAAGCGCTGCGATCGAGAATCCCGCCTACGATCCGGACCCGGACTCGGACCCGACACCATTACAGACGACGTTGATATACGAGTACATGCCCACGAAATGGATCACCGACAAGGTCTGTTCCTGGCCCACGACCTCTTTGACCCGCTCGAACAGCTCGTCGGACAGCGGTCCGCCTCCTCGCACCAATGCCAGAGCGAGGTCGTACACTGCCGAACCGGCTTCCGACAGGTCCTCAGGCTTCTCTCCCCGCGAAATTTGGGCGATGAAGTCGGGGTCCAAGTCGGACAGGTCCGCAGCCGCCTCGGCGTGTACATAGGCTGGATACGCCGCCTTGTGATGACTCCCAGTTGCCAAGATCACGATTTCTCGAAGCCTGGGATCGAGTGGCAGCTTGTAGAGTTCGCCGATGAGCTGCAAGAACGATGCAGCCACGGCGGGAGTATGTGTCACAGCCCCAAAGTGACCTCGCAAACGCTGCTCATCGTCGAGGTAGATCTGCAAAACAATCGATAGCGCATCAAACTTTGCTCGGGAGCCGTCAATGTTGATCGCCAACCAACTCACATGGCTGTTGTGACTGCCCAAGATCCCGGTCACCGTGTTGAGTGTCGCTTGGTAGTCCTGTCGCTCCGTTGCACCTGCGATCTCGTCTAGATTGGGCACTGGGTATCGGGTGCTCGCGGCGGATGAAGGCATGGCGAGATTGCTCAATCTTTGCGTTGTGCGAGTGCCAGCTTTGATCCCCGGGCATTGCCCTTCCTCGCTCCCCCCTATGAAGTTGGCATGTAATGTAGTCATCCGGACATCTGACCTCGGCTCGTCTCGACCTGTGATCGGCAATCAACTTGCAACTTGAAAGCGTTACGATTCGCCTCGACGGTCGAGTCTCGCGGAGCACGTCGCGTTGCGAATAACAGCGTCGCAACCTCGAGAATCCTTATGTGGCCTCGTTGAGTGTTCACGTGCACATAGACGATCGACTCCAGCACAACAGTAGATCTGAAACCAAAAGGTTTTGTAATTGCCAGGCTTCCCTCAATCGACATTTGACCAGTTCCTTGGTGTTTCAAGTCGGACGACTCTGCAGCCGCCTCGATGAACAACTGCTCGTCAGGTGCTGGCAATGATCGATTTATGCGTGACATTGAGAGGACATGTAGTACAGCGTTTACCGCAAGAGGGTGTATCAAAGAAAACACAACAGATAATCGAGACCTACACGCACTACTGATCAAGACTGAGATCTACGACAAAGTCATCACGCCGAGAAGCACCATCGCTGCCGCGCTGACCCTATCAAGTCGTCGACGCGATCAATAGATCAGTAACAACATCGTCGAGTTACGCAAGACGGCACACTCACTGCCAGAACTTTGACACCGTCCTCGACTTGTCTCCTGTATTCGCTGGCGTTGTTGCAGCGGCACCACTAGCCCCGGCAGAAGAGCTCTCGCTCGTCCCCGCGCTCGTCGTGGTTGTGATGGGCAAGACTTGGGCGGTCCAAGGGAACGTCGAACTCGGCGGCAGGCGAGTGGTCGTCAACACGCTCCTCGTCTCACTCATCGTCTCTGCCCCTCCCGGCCGTTGTTCACTCAAACCCAAGGTCGTCGTGATCGGCTCGGTCTCGTTCTTGACCAAGGTGATGTTCTGGCTGAACGCCCGTCGACCTGTTGGAGTCGACCCGTCCGCGCTCAACTCGATGTATTGGAGGACGATGCTGTCGCCAGGTGCGAAGATGTAGACGGACTCGTTGATGTAGATCGGACCGGCCGAGGCGGAGAACTCGGCTTGAGAGCCGAGCGAGATGTTGTAGAGAGCATAGTTGCCTAGGAAGAAAGACTGCATCGGGGTCGGGTATCGAGATCAAGACTGGATTAGCGTGCGTGCCGTAGTTAAATGTAGCTACGACCGTCGACTCACCTCTTGATACTGATAGCCCGTCTCGAAAGGGAACACGCTCTCATGGTCCGGATGATTAAAGTAGACCGTCTGCATCTGGTCCCAAGTGCTTCCTTCCAGGTCCTCCTCCGTAGCGTTGAACTCGAGGTTGACCGTCCCATTCGGCACGCTGAGCGTCACCGTGGGGAGTTCAGGTAGGGCTCCATAGTAGGCCCCAGGGACGTTGGAGGATGTAAAGTTGTAACGGATGGAGACGGGGCCGGTGACGATATCAGCCATGGTGATCGAGGTCGACAGACTTGGTGGTGTGTTGATTCGGTCGAAGCGAAAATGGATGGGACACCGGCTCTGTGGAAACCAGCGTAGCCTGCCATATACGTACTCGTCCTACCAGCTTGCCGAACATGTCGATGCCAAGGTGTACTAGACGAGGCTTGTGTCGAGATGCCGACGACGTCCCGTTGTTCGGCGAGTTATGGCAAAGAGCGTGTACCAAAGAGGGCGAAGGGCGTGAGGCCTGATGATCAGGTGATCTCGTGAACCATGGACTGTGATTCCACAGAGTGAGCGATACGATACAGCGAGCCCAGCGAGTTCGATTGTCCGACGGAACGCCGAATCGAAGCTCGATGAGAATCGCATGCGGTGCCGAAAGAGCAAGAGGTGGTTCTTGGCGTCGCTTACCCCGGCCCGGGGCTGAGCAACGGTGATGGGCGCTTGCATCACGTCAATCTTGGAGTCAACGAGTACGTCGAGAAGCAGATACACCGCTAGAAGGGGTGATGACACGAAATCCCACTGTCAAGTTGCATCGTATGGCTTGTACAAAAACGGCCTACTACGCGCCTAAGTTGTAGGGAAGATATGGATCTCTCTTTAAAGTAGATTGGCATACCACGCCGAAGTGCGCTGACGCAATTGGCATCGACATGGATGACCGTTGCTCTCAGCTCTTTTCAAGTACTTGGGAGTTGACCATGCCGTCGGAACCAGATTTTACGGACTAGGATCGTCACCTTGTGAAAGTATCTGGTGGATGATCTGGATCCGGCGTAGCATCGTTGGACGCCTTGATGTTACGATCGCAAGCTCTCGAGACTCGATGCGGGACAGCTTGTTGGTCTCCCGATCTTCCGAAGATCAAACGGTCTCGGCATGCATGTCTCGAACATGCACTCTAACGGGTCCGTCTAGCGATCCTCGCGAACAACCACAATCTTTCGACTGTGCTTGTCCGTAGGGTATTCTGGTGTGACTAGATCGCGCCGGGAGTCTTTGCTGGATTCAATGGTGTATGGTCGGTCTATCGGGTGATTACAATTCTCATGTTGCAGGTATGCAGTACGACTCTTCGCTCGAGGGTTCCCACGTAGGTTCCCACGTAGGTTAGATCGGGATCTGGACTGTCGGCTAGGTGCGGTCGCATTCATGTACTTCGTCTGTCATGGCGTCGCAATAATGGTGGGCTTTTCAGTGAACAATCCGGTTGGCACTTCCGCTACGGACTTACCAGGTCATCGACGAGTCCCGCTCGCTCATGTCCAACGATTGCCAGTTCTCGATGCATCTCTCGATCTCCCGCACGCACAAGTCGGGATCCCAATAAGGTACTAGGTGGCCCGAATGATCAGCAACTACCAGCGTATACGTCGACGATAGCCGGGTGACCTCTCGTGCCAGTTCCAACTCGATTGCCGGAAGGCGTTCACAGTATTTTCGCAACCTCTCGTGGTCTTCTTCTGAACCGAGACCTTCAGCCTTGCCAGCGTCCGCAAGCCTTTTGAAATCACGAGCGAGATTGGCAACGATGATATGGATAGGTCGGTTACCGAGAGCTTGTCGGTAGAGTTGACGATGCAGGCCGAGTGCTTCGAGTGAAGACACGTAGGCGAGACCTTCCGAAGAGCGAGGAGGATTGGCAGATGCTCGACGTTCTCTTGCAACACGTTCGTCCTCCTTGACCATTCCCCATTCGTCCACCGTCAAGCGATGATCCTCGGCTAGACCCGTCGCATCGTCCGTAGTGAACATGGTCTTGATGCATCGCATGGTTGCATCAATAGGCCAATCTCGGCGTACGTGCGTGTTCTCCTGGTTGGCATCGATGTAGACGAGTCCGGCAACATCGTGGTCGTAGGCCTGAAGAAATTCTCGGGCGATAATACCGCCATAGGAGTGGGCCACCAAGAGGTATGGGGAAGGTATGTTGCCGGCGACGAGCGTGTCTTTCAACTCTTTGGCGAGCAGTGCGGCTGGACGAGCTAGGTCAGTCCCATCGCTTTTGCCTAGTCCAAGTCGATCATAGCTGAACGTGCGGAGATTTGGCGAGATCAGCCGTTGTACAGCGGACCAGGTGACGGTCGTTGCCCCGATGCCTGCGATCAAGACGACGGTAGGTAATGTAGACGTGGTGTTGGGAATCGTTTCGACCGAGTAGATGCGGTACGTGTCGACGTCGATGTAGCGAGATGTGCGATTGGTCATGATGTCAGTCGCCGAGCGAGCGGGTGATGCTAGCGAGATGATGAAGGTGCAAGGTCCCCATGAGTAGCTCTAACGTATTGAAGTTTGCTGCGTATCCCGACTCGCATGACTCGAAGTATCGTTTGTAATTATAATAGTTATCGAGGAGTCGATCCATGATTGAGCAAGGGTGCAGGCGGATCGAAGTTGTGTGACTTCGGGCGGCCCGGCGAGTAGAGTTTGGCTCGAGATCCAGTAAGAAACCGATCAGAGTGGAATTGGTATGTAACAATGTTAACAGTGATATATAGTTTTTTTGCCCAGGGCCTAAGAGCTGCTGACTTGGCGTGTTTTCCAACAAATTCAAGCGAACTTGACGTGATTTGGCCACGACCTGATAGTAGGATGGCGATCTCAGTGTCGCACAATGATGTACCAAGTCAGGACAGTGTTCAGAGTGCTTCCCAAGCTTGTTGCGACAGGCAAAGCACTTGTGTTCAAGTGAAATTGCGGTAATGTCGAGTCTCGACTTGCAAAGGGGTAAGTGATGATTGCGAGAGAACGAGGAGGTTGCAAGCAGACAGCAAAGTATCCAGCTCATGTCCAAGATCATGACACGACCAACAAAGCCATAGGACCCAACTTAGACCTTGCGTTCAGGGTTAGGGGTTTTAATGATAGATCTAGGATGCATTCAAGGTTCAATTTACAAGAGAAAGTGTTTGATAATAAAGAAAATATCTAAGAAGTCGAGAATTCGGTCATTCACAGTCAAAAGCAGTCATTTCCACGATCCGAACTAGTCTATACGCAGTAGTGACACCGTCTGTCAAGTATCTACTCATGTGGCAAAGTGCCGGGTCCTTGCTCGCAGTAGGATGAGGGAGATCCTGCGTCCCATGAATCCAAAGGCCGTTTCGGACATGACCTTTTGCCATTCTTGGAATACCTTGAGCGTCTCTTTTTCTTGAGCACCGCCGATGCTGAACACCAGCGCCCGGAACGGGGTCTTTGTCTTCCCCTCGTACTTCTTCCGCTTGGCATCGGCTGATACCGCCAAAACCGCTTGAAGTTCACCCTTGTACTCGTGCTTCTCCTCGCCTTCTCACTTGAACTTGCGGGCCTAATAGTATGCCCTCATGCCCCGCTATAGCAGCGCACGTAATTTGTTAGGGACAGTTGTCTCGCGAGACACAGCGAGACAAGCTTTGCGCAGGGGGTCTGCGCAAGGGTACGCGCGACACACAAAGTAAACAGAGACAACGAGACAACGAGACCGCGAGACAAACAAAGTAAACAGAGACATGAAGCGAGACACACAAAATAAACAGAGACACGAAGCGAGACAGACAAAGTAAACAGAGACAACACATTCGTCATACAGTTCTACCTCTCACGTGATGCTTGTACACTGCACGTGATTCATTAAACACGTCTTGACCAGTCGCGTCAAGCATCCTGCCACCTATGACGTGGACGGCAGTCTCGTATTGCCTGGTCAGGCCAAGAAGAGCATATCCTTTCTTTGCTTTGTTACGATCTATATAGTATAGCCCCTGCACATATCGCACCCGGCCAGGACATCAGGATGTAGTCGGTAAGTCCACATACGAACCAGTCAACCTTTACCTTACTCGCTTACACCCTCTTGTAACCACGCACTCTATCGCACCATGTCTACTGCCCCCCATATCATCACCACCTACGGTCAGGCCAAGTGCTCGCTCTGCCGGGCCATCGCGTTCAAGGACAGTGCCAATGCTGTCAAGCATCTTCGTGTGCAGCATCAGACTAGTCCGGTCACGTACAATAGTATGTTGCCAGCCTGAATGATCACCTCGTTTGTCACTGACCCGGCATTGGTCATCCTTGCAGAGCTTACGTTCGACCGGGAGGTTCCAGGAGATGCGACCAGTCCTTACTATTGCGGATGCGGCTTTGATGGTACTATATTGACCAAAGCCTTCCGTAACCACTTGCGGTTCTGTGACGTCATCCGTGCCAAAGTCAAGGCTCAGAATGGCTCGTCGGGCTTGATTGCAAGTGAGTCGAGATAGAGAATAGAGTCTCCGTCTTATTGCGACTTGATTCTGACGCGTCGTCTCTTCATCTCCCAGGTCCTCTCAGTGCAGATAGCTTGCGAGCGTGTAAGTGATCATGGAATTGAAGTCGGTGAGCACGTCACTGATTGTCTACTATGCAGTCCCGGCTTCAACAGAGACACCAGATGCTCGACAAAGACAGGTTGAGCCCACCGTTGCGGCTCGGCAGAAACGTGCCCGTGAAGATATTCAGAGGATCAGTTTCTCGTCTCCCCTCTCTACTCTATCTCCCACGCCCAAGCGACAGAGACTCCCATCTCCACAATCGTCCGGAACACGGGACAAGGATGACGGCTTTAAACGGGACCAGGATGACAATTCTGAACGAGACCAGGATGGTGGCTCTCAGCGAGACGATAGTGCACCAAACGGTCAGAGGGCATCTGGTCAGGACGATTCGGATGAAGACGCTGGTGATTACGAGGTGGAAGAGACCAGAGATGAGGGACATGCTGCCAGGCAAGGTGACGACGATGCATCTGACGAGGATGATGACGATGATGATGATGATGGCAACAACAACGATGACGATGACTTGTCAATGACCCAGACAGTGAGTTCTGAGTGTACAACTTGCACATTCACAGTGGTTGATGTTCGCGTGTTCACAAATTGCAGTCGTCACCGGTCAAGGTCTCGGCCAAGACAACTGGCTTGGCCAAGCTTCGTGCTCAGCGAGAGCGTCTTCAGCAGAGACGGACTCGGCCTCAACCCCGACGGACGGTGGTCTCGTCTGCATCACCAACACCAGAGTGGTCCTCCTCACCTCCAGTTCAGCCACGCCGACTTGTCGACCAATTCATCGACAACGAAGCTGTGCTCAGTGGAGAAGGGTCCGATGACAATGGGGAAGCTGGTCACCCAGAAGAGGACCGCTATGATGAGAACGACTCCTTTATCAATGACAGCCGGAGTGACGAAGAGGATTTGGAGGATGAGTCAAGCAACGAGTTTGAGAATGAGACGAACGAGGAGGTCATACAATCCTTCATTCGGGATGGCTCAGCACCCAAGCCTGCTGCAATCGAGGAGTTGATCCTTGACCCTTCTGTGTCAAGTAGTCCGATTCGTCAAGCGTCTATACGGAACAAGATTGGCATCGATGCCAAAGAGCAGGCTGAGCTTGTTAGGTTGGCAACATTTAAGGACGATAAGAATGCTGGCGAGCCTGACTTGCCGTACTTGGAGCTGACTGGGGACTGGCACAGTAAGACGAGATGCTTTTGCGGTTGATATATGGATACCATACTGAATGATGGGTACTGTGTAGCTCGTCACCCCTTCGACCAGGCCAGCCTTGCATACAACTCGGAGCTTGGCATCCTATACTGCCGATCACACGACCTTGCCATTCCCATCTCGGCTGAGCTAGAAGAGAGCAAGAAGCTCATCGGGAACCACTTCCGCAACTCGCATCAATTGTCGGTTGATACTCAGTTGCGGGATGAGATATTCGACGAGCTGGTCAACCTTCATCCGACAATCGACTGGATGGCCCGTAATAGTTATATGGCAGCAACTTGGGACGCTCCAATGTCAGCAGTTGAGCTTCTGCCTTGCCTGCCAGCTTGGGCGTGCGGAGCATGTGGAAAGATCCGGACAAATTACAGGAGGATGGTTACGCATGTGCACGACCATGGCGACAGGAATGCAAAGCCGGTGCAAGTCACGGTTCAAACCATCGGATCCCTCCGCAAGAGCAATGAAGGTCTTCACCGTCTTGTCCCGGTACGCGATCCTATCAAGCCAAGGGTTGCAACCAACCAAGACGGACATGCTGGAGGGGATATATCGGGTGCTCTCGACCAGGTCTACAACCTGATGAACAATATCGAGCCAGATCTGGTCATCACCGGACAAGGTGCACGACATCTCTCTGAATTCCATCGGAGCGTGGATTGGGCAGATGTCATGGAGACGGTGGGACTACCATACCTTGCCAATCTTGGGAGGCGAGATGTACTGCCGACCGATCCCGTCTGGATGCAAGTCGTCCACAAGATTGCTCCCAAGGTATTTGAGCAAATGTACCGCTCGCTGGACAAGTACAAGTATCACCCTTTCCGCTCCGACTTGCAACGGTGAGTCTTGCATCATTTCAGGATTATGTACGAGCAAAGTCTCTTATGTCTCTCCAATACCTGAATCAGTGACACTGCAACCAACACGGCACGAGACCGGTTCCGACCTCTTCAAGAGTCTGTTCCCAAATATGCTCGTGGGATGCAACGTCTTCTCATTGTTACTTTGCGATGGGCAAATGAACGGTTCAGCAATGTTGGCATGGTCGATGATGCACCCTACCCTACCATTGCCCGAACTCATCAACGGCTGGTCGAGTTTGCCAACTGGCAACTTGACGGTGGCATGGAGGATGAGGACACAACTCTGGAAGACCATCTGCAAGGATGGCTAGAAGCGCTCTTCACGACAGAGTACCGCATCAACGATGAGCAACAGGATCCCGTCTTCTGGTTCCTCATGGCAGTCACGACTCAGCCTCTTGACGTCAAACAACTCCAGAACATCAGGGATGTTGCCGATCTGGCTGACGAGGAAGTCATGTTGCAAGACACGTGCCGAGCTGAAGCAGAGGGTCGCGATGACGATGAAGAGACTGGCTTGCCAGGTGACGATCAGACCGGGATCGATGATGAGGATCGTCTCGATATCTTGCGAGCGCACTCTGGCCGAATGATCTTGCCAGCTCACATGTTCTCTGGTCTATATGCCCAAGTGCAATACGCTTGCCGGCTGACCTTGTGGAACATGGCGGTTCACATCATGCAGCGGAGTGACGAGGAGAAGATTCCTGGCGAGGCCACTGTTGATGATCTCAAGCCATGCTGCACCGAGACAGTCGAGGGATTCTCTTATCGTCGGATCCGGCTGGCTTTGGGACATGCACTCCGGGCGATCATGGACCTGCCACCTCGTGTCACTTGGGGTATACACGCTGGCACTCCGTTCCTCTCGGTGAACAATACCGTTGTCAACCGAGAGATCTTGTCCGAGGCGTTCCATCATATCGTCACCCGGGCAGAGCACGAGTTGGCGGAGCATCTATGTTGGGGGATGCGACTCAGTGTTGAGATGCCAAAACTTGTCAAAGACGACATGAGAAGCACGGTGACAGGGTATTCATTCATCAATGACCCTGCAAACGGTATCGCCTCGCAAGGAAGGGCGTTGCCTGAAGCGATAAGCAAGAATGCTCATCTTCAAGCACGCTTGCTCATCAACTCTACAACGTGGAATCAGAGCGAGATACGGAAGGTTCTCAAAGCCGATCATCAGTTCTTGGGGCTGTTGTTCACCTGTCTTCACCTGACGAGTGGTCTTCCGGCAAGAGCGGCTGAGTACAATACTCTTCGTCTAGTCAACTTGGGTGACACCCCACGCAGCATCTATCACGACCCGTATCAGCTGTTCTTGTTGTTCCGCTACACCAAGACAACTGCAACGAAAGGTCAAGGATCACCTCATCCCCGGTTCCCGGCTAAACGAGTTGCCGATCTCCTCTTGGTGTACCTTGTCAAGGTTCGGCCGATGATGATTGCGCTTGCCAAGATGCTGACCGGCACGGAAGCTGCAAGCAAGGCAAAGCTCATGCGAACCCATCTGTTTGCGAGCTATACCGGGCTGTTCACTCCTCAAGAGTTACGGTCTGCCTTTGGCACGGCGATGCACCAACACGGCAAGCTGCCCATCGGGATCTCTGACTATCGTCATCTCTGCATCCAGATCCATAACAAGTTCATCGGAGCGAAGCTCAGTATGGATCCTGCCGTCAAGGAGTTCTTTGCCAAGGCAGCACATCACTCACTCAGCATTGACAAGAAGCATTACGGCGGTAACAACCTTGAGCCGGTGAATGGCCTTGGTGACGATCTGCTTAGTGCGTCGTCAGTATGTTCAGCCTGGCACGAATGGATCGGCATGCGCGACTTTGCTCTGATCAAGGGCAAGCGAAGGGCAGTGGACACGATTGGAGCGCCAGCAGCAGATGAGGGAGCTCTCAATGCTGCGGTGGGACAACGGTTCGAAGCAACTGTCAATGCTATGCAGGATCGACTCGACCGGATCATGGATGGGTTGACGTCAAGTCAGATCTTTGTCGATCAGCAGGGGCAACTTGATGTCGACGCTCAGGGTGCCCTGCATCAAGTCTATTTGGAAAGAAGCCGCTGTCAGATCCGATACGCATTGCAGGTTCTGCTCGACAAGAAGGATGCCTCGTTCCGTCATCCAAGCATGATGCGCACCATCGACTCTATCCTCACTCGCCAGTGTGATGTTCTTGCCATCTACCCAACAGGATCGGGCAAGTCGATGCTGATGTGGATACCGGCAGCACTTGAGGGTGGCATGACAATGGTCTACATATCACTGTTCTCTCAGCTCGGCACGGACATTGTCACAAAAGGCACCAAACTTGGTCTCCGGTGTGAGTGGTGGACGACAGAGACGGCACTGAGCAGTGCACCTCAGGTGCTTGTGGTACCGGTCGAAGCGATCCATTCGAACAAGTTCAGGGCTCTGATTGACGGACTCTACAAGGTCGATCGGCTATCAAGGTTTGTGCTGGATGAAGCACACGTACTACGATCCCAAGGCAACTTCCGCACTCAGTTTGATGGAGTCATGCGGTTCCGATCATCGGCAAACCTGGTGATTCCTTGGGTTTTGTTGACGGCAACGTTACCTCCGACATGGGAAGCCCCTCTGCTACATGAAGTTGGATCGGATGCAGGATGTACACTCCGAGTCAGGACATCGGCAGATCGACCCAACTTGCAGTACTGCCAAGAGCTGCCACCTCGACGTGGTGATCCTATTGAAGGCTATCCGAATCATCAAGGCGGCTGGAAACAATACGTCTGTGACAAGGCAAGTCAGATCTGCGAAACTTCCATCCAGTCCAGTGGTTCCGAATCCCGAGTAATCATCTACTGCCCGGTCAAGGCCTGGATCGAGACCTTTGCACAGGCATTGGATAGGAGGAACAGCGATCAGAGGTACACCACGTCTTACAAGACGGCGATGTTTCTTGCTGATATGACTCACGCAGAGAAGCAAGAGGTCGTCGCTTCATTTATTGACGGCACCACTCCTATCGTCGTTGCTACTTCAGCATTTGGCCAAGGGATCGATCATGCACATGTACGGACGGTCATTCTCATTGGAGAACCGTGGAATATGCTCGACGTAGCTCAACAAGCCGGTCGGGCTGGTCGGGATGGGCAACCCGCAAAGGTCTTTCTCATTCCCTCGTACGGATACATGATGCCGAACAGGGATACCAACCATCCTCGGGCTAACGTCTTGGATCCTCAGGCCAACGAGCGGGTACAAGAGCTCTTTGGTACGCGGGGGAAATGCCTTCGCCAACAGATCAATCGGTACCTTGAAGAGGTCAATGTGCCGTCCTGTCTCGAAGGGACAGCCGCCACACTACTCTGCTCGGTGTGCATGGCTGCAAGTCAGGCAGAGGGTATGCGGCCAAAGCTCTTTTTGGGTGCGCGCGCAGGTTTGAACCGGAGCGTAACAAGACAGGCGGGGGCAGGCAACCAGGTCAACATCTCCGTGCAAATCAATAGGTTGGAGACTCAGACAGTGCTTGTGCCGAAGGAGAACACCGTCGTCCCGGTTGCCGTACCGCATGACCGAGTGGTGGTGTCTGCCAAAACACCAACGACACATCGGTATGTGGATGCGAAGCCGTGCGGTACATCAACAGGCATCGAGTCTACTGGAGGCAAAGTCGTCAACCTCCAGACCGTCACTCCGGAACAGACTTTCTCGCTCGGATCCCCGTGGAAGCCAGCACCAGTCCGACCACCTCAGCCGGTACGACTTAGGGAGACAGCTTACCCCAACCGCGACTCGCCAGCTCCTATCATCCGGCACATCGTCCACGCTCAGCAAGCAAGGGTGATGGCCGAGAACCATGTCCGTGCCGTCCCATCGATGTACCAGGAATGGATTGGGCAAGTCGCGCAAGCAGTACGTCTCCGGCCAGTCACAGCATGTGGCTATTGCTACGTAGACTTTGGCTTTGCGGACTGTTTCCATGGAGCAAAAGATGCGGACTGCCCGGTCCTGGTCGCTCGAGACGGGTGCCGGAAATGTGGAGAAGATGGACATCTTGCAGGCGAGTGTCCTATGCAGCAGATCAAGATATCACGGAGCGTCAAGGGAGTGGTATGCTGTTACCTGTAAGTCTGCACTCCAATCGATACAGCTCGACTATGGCTGATTTGATCCTTTGGAACAGTTGCTTTGCTAGTCCGTTCAAGTCGCCATGCCCGATCAGGTTCTTCATGCAAGGAGTCGTCTTCCGTCTGTCTTCATTCACCCGACCTGGAGCAATGGAACAACGTGAAGATTGGTTTCAACGATACAAACCAGCAAGACGGTGGACGAGTCAAGAAGAACTTGCCGAATGGCTCTATGACACAAAGAGCGACCAGCCCAAGTTACTCAATGTAATGCAAGTCGTTGTCGATCTCTACATGTAGTTTAATGGGTTTTATATTCCGATGTAGATATAATACAATCCATTCTCGTATAACATGTTACATATCAGAAGCTATCTCAGGACGTGTTCCGAGGAATGAAGGCTCCATCTTCCGTCCCATAGAAGCTGTCCTTCCCAAACATCTTGATCTCCAACTTGACCATCTCGTAATACTTCTGTCGGTAGAGTTTGACGATCTTGCCTCGGATCTCTTTGACAACTTTGTGGGACATTTCACTACCTTTGTTGAACAGTTGATCGAGTTGGATCCTGACCTCTGGGTCCTCCCATTTCCGGTAACCAAACAAGGCCTGTCCGACCGGGTAAGGTGGCATCATGGAAATTGCTGCAGCAAACCGGGTGGGTGGAGCAACTACGGGAGGGCGCTTGCCAGTGGGCTCAATGACAGGAGCAATGCAGTCCCGCAAGAACCCATGTTGTTCAGTCCAGGTATGGCCTGTCGGGGCGTCAAGGCAGCGATTATAGTCTGACCCATAGGCCACATACCATGGCAAGATGGTTTGTCGAACCTTGGTAGCCTTGCCCGAGGATCCATGTACCGTCTCTAGCCTGCTGAACCTCGCGCCAAACTTGTTGACAGGTTGGGGAACAGGGGTACCAAATTTGGCCTTGGCTTCAGCATCGTACCATTTGAAGTCGGTGGTGAAGGTATTAGCTGTGTTGGCCACCTCTCTTGACTTCATGTACTCAAAGAGTTCCTTCGTCCTCTTGTGTGTTCCCTTGATTACCATCGTGCAGTTCTGTTCATCCTCGTCCGTCATGGAGACACCAAGGGTGAGTAGGTTGGCAGGCTTCTGTCCAGCCACAAACCCCTTGATGTCGTAGTCAACATGGAGGAACGAGTTGTCCTGTCCCAACTCCCATGCATTCTTTGCAATGTAGCCACACGGCATCAGACGATGGCAGTGATCCGGCCGTAATGCTGCACTGAGCATGTAGAGCACAGGGTCCATCCTGACAACCTGTTGAATCAGTGAATGAAGCTGATTACGTGCCCAACCCTTCTTGGGTTTGCCGGCAGGGGGACTGAAGTGATGCTTGTAGAGATCAAACTCGCACTCTGCAAAGTAACCACAGTCACCCTGGTTCAGGTGAGGCAAGAGGGAGTTGATCCCAATGGTTCCGTCACGTCTCCACGTTTCCTCTGCATTGGGACCAGCGTACCACCTGATGATCTTCGAGTGATTGAAGTCAAAAGGTTTCTGCTCTCTGGGTGTGTACTTGAAGACGTTGTACTCTTGACCTCTGAACCAAGTTGGGTATTGCTGACGAGCATGGTGGATACCCATGTCTGCAATGCTGACGAGTCTTTCCCAGAGTACTTGTCCGTTGATTGAGGTGAGCAGATCAAGGTTGCTTCCCAGATGCTTGCACTGTGAGTGATTCAGAGGCAGGCTACCATCGGGACCCTCAGGCCCATTTAAGATCCTGTGAATCTCTTGGAGCGCAGCATCAAGCCCGATGTTCTTATAGGTATGATCACGTTCTGTGTGTGAACGTCACGTCAGTTTGTGCCATTAGCAACCACCTTCATTGTAGATGCTTACTGCTGACGGGTTGATTGATTTCTTATTATAATAAAGGGATTGAGACGAAGCCCAAGTCAGCTGAGTACAGTATTGAGGATCTCATCATCTGAACGACTCACCTGCAGCAGGGGCAAGGCCGACACCCAGTTCCGGGGCTGTTTGTTCTTGTTGTTGACCAGAGCCTATTATAATAAGCAGGGTAGATGAGTGTGGTTGAAACGAAGTGTTAATTACTCTCGTTGCTCACCTCCTACTCCAGAAATCGTACCAGGTTATTATAATGAGGATTGATCAGCGAGTTATCTCACGGAACGGACAGGGTCTCACGTACCAACTGCAGCAGCTGTTCTGTGATCGATGATCCTTGCGACTGGAGCCAGGATCGAGAAGGAGTCAGCCCAGCTCTGACGTATTGTCTAGACCAATAGTAGCTCACCTCTCGAATGATCACCAGGCTGCAGCACTTATTATAATAAGACAGAGTGTCAGCTATTGTGTGACGGGAACGTACGAGCAGAGTCACACTTACGTGTTTCCACGTTGGGAGTGATGTGTCCTGCAAGTCAGTGTAGTTAGCGATAAGTCTATCCAACGAGATGTACATAACGCAGCTCACCTGCAGCTCCAGCTTGAGGCTGGGAGCCTTATCAGATACGAGACATAGTTACACTTAGAGACATTTACAAGGGGCAAGTACAACACGGGCAGTCATGCTTACGGACGGGGTCGGCTGTTGAGATGACGATCAGTCAGCGACATCTTTGGGAAACCATTGCGATGCACTTACTCATAGTCGACCCGGGCTGAGTGGCGTCATCGTCCTTGTTCAGGGTGGGATCGATTTCGGAGTCGATAGGGGATCCTTCACGAGGGTGCTGAGAGCCGGCCGCTTCAGAAGGGGTGGTGCTACGCAATCTCTTAGAGGGGCGTTCATCTTCATGGTCGCTGTCGCCCAAGGTGGAGTCGACAATGGACTTGGAGCGGGGACGTTTGGTGCCAGTCGATGAAGATTGGGAGCCGGGAGATTTCTTAGGGACGACTCGCTTCTTAATGATATCGACGTCGCAGAACTGCAGGGTCTTCTCTTTGTTCTTAGCGGTAGGACTCGTGCGTCGCCCAATGACTTGCTGCTTCAACTTGAGATGAGCCTCGTCTTTACCGATGTGTTTACTCATGGTCGCAAGGTATTGGAGCAAGGTGATGCCGAAGGTCTTAGGGGTCATGTCGGAGGGAAGGAGCTCGTACGGGTTTACCTTCCAGTTCGTTTGGATGATCTCGATGTGACGGGTACGGAGAGGGTTGGACTTGAGCCACGGCTGGACTTTACCGTTGTAGTCGATCTGAGCCCTAAGAGGTTCGAGCCCAGACGAGTGGTCGGTCACGTAACGCCAGGCCAGGACAACCGTGTCGAAGACGGTATCGTTAGGAGTGGGGAGGGAGTCGAAGAGGCTCTTGATCGCGTCGGTAGCCTGGTCCTTACCAAGCGTACGGAGGTGCTCCTCAAAAGCGGACCAGCCAGTCTAACTATATAATATCTGGAACGGACCGTGTTTCGCTAGTAAATCGACGGTCCGTTCCCGCGCGCGAGGCCCTAGGGATCCAACCGTCAGGATCCGACCGTGCGCGGCGGGTAATTTTACCCCCTTGGACTTGCGGGTAATTACCCCCCTCGATCTGGCGGGTAACTTTCCCCCCCGACTTGGCGGGTAACCCTATGACTAGGGGGGTAATTTCCCAAGTCGCCGTCCAGACTCACTCGGGGATACCACTTTCCACTTACAAACTTGCAACTCTCGATTTCACTCTCATGTCTACCCAGTATCTATCGATTCGAAACCCGTCATATTTTACATTCGCCCATGTCTATTTCACCTTTACAAGCAAGTCGGCCCCACGACAGTATACACATAATCATCGTATCCGTCTCTTATCGCACTTCTCTCTTATTACTGGCTAAGTCTGCCACTCCCAGTTCTGCGTCATTCCCGCATCCCTCGCGACGTTCTTACTATGATCCTCTTTGATCCACGCCCACAACACCCGCCACTCAACTCCCCACCTCGCTGCCGCTTCCTCTACCGTCTCGCCGGGCTGAACCCACTTCAGGATCGCCTCTTCCATGTAACCCGGCTTGAACCTCTCTTCGAGGTCTTCGTAATTCTCGGGCTCCCTGCAAACCCTTCCCCTCGCGTCCTTCCACACCATCTGCCATCCCCGACCCAGCCTGCCTCCGCACACACCACGATCAGCACTCGCTCCGTTCAACGCTATTTCTCATTCGGTTCCACTCACGCTCCAAATCCCTGCGCTTCCCCGGACTGCTCACTCCCAGCGTCCCCATCCCCTTCGGCCCCTCCCGCTGTCGCCTCCCCCGCCTCGTTCGCCGCATGGAGCTCCTGCCAGTTTTCCGGCGCGAGACCTTCATCCTCACTGTCCGTTTCACACTTCAGATCATCAGCACCTTGCGTTTCAGACGTTCCACAGTCATTCCTATCTATCGACTCACTATTCCTCCTTCACCTCCCTCGACCAGGCACCTTTCCCCACTTCGGGTTCGGTCGACTATAACGTACGTTTGTTTCAGTCAGCCCCGTACCCCTCCGCCGCACCTCTCATATACACTCACATCGAACGTCCTCTCCCTGAAATCCCGCTCGTCTCCGCTATCACCCGCCAACGTCAAATTGGGTCAATGTCGCCTCCTCACTTCCGCAATCACAACAAAGATACTTACTCTTCGGACCTCATATCCGGCCCTTTACGCCCTCCAACTTCCGCTTCAGTCGACTGCGTTTGCATACATTCGTCAGCCGCTGCGACCGTCGAGGACTCGTCTCCAGACTCACCTCGTACGACAGCCCGCGGACATACTTCAAGGGACGTTCGCTACACACCGCACGACTTGAATCAGCTCGATCCTATGTCATACACTCCTTCACCAACTCACGTTGGCTCCATCTTCTCCGACTCTTAGGGGTTAAGTTTGTAAATAGCTCAAAACGTGATATCTGATTTTTCTGATTACTCGTCTGGCTTTTCGCTCGAAGAACGTTCATCCCCCTCGCCAGTACTTATCCTTTTTCCCCTTGTCGTCCCACCCGAAACTTCTAGCCGCTTCGCACACTGAGAAGGTCACGAACGCTAGCCAAAGGACCCCCGTTTTCCTTATCATTCGGGTGGGACACTTCGATTCGAAATAGGGCATCCCCATCTGCTCGCACGTTCGATGATCTGCGCTCTCTTCCTCTTTGGGGTTAGGGGTTAGGGGGTTAGGGGTTAGGGGTTAGGGGTTAGGGGTTAGGGGTTAGGGGTTAGGGGTTAGGGGT